ATCAGAGGTGTTGAGTGACGGGAACCGTATGTCCACCCTGTAGGTGTCCATGAATTTCCGGATGGCTCTTCCTTTGGTGCCAATCAGACGGCGGTGAACTCGGGGGTCAATGGGTACCTCTACACTCACTTGCTCCTCCTGCCAAAACAACAACAATTAACACGCTGGTATCGGCACGATAAGATCGCAAATGAGCCGACCTACTGCACGCTCCATGAACTTAATCCATAAAACAAACAAGCTGTTATCACTGTAGTGGCGCGCAGTCGTGCGATAATTACGACACCGCTTGTTTCCATTTGGTGTCAGTCTTAGAGCAGGCGCTCATGACCAGCGTGGCAAGACGCTCGTTTCTATTTTAGATTTTAGACGAGTCAAGGAGAGATTTGCAAGGTGGTCTGGCACTAATGAGTATCAGTATCAGCGCCAGACCCCTCTCAGACCTCTCATCAGTTCACGTTGCTCAAGGCTTCATACGTTCCCGCGGGCGAAGAAACACTCATGCCCAGGCGCTAATAAGGAGCGCGTGCTCACAACTTAGTTTGTGTCGCATAACGCGACTCAAGTGTTACTCCTGCCCAACCCCCCCCTCCACCCCTCCCTTTTTCCCCCGTTCAATAAAATACAATCTATGGAGACAGTGTTACAGCAAAGACGGGCAATATTGCACGATCAAATTTTAATTTCACCGCATTCTTATCAAAGGCTAATAAAAAGGTTTACATAAGCTAAAACAGGCAAAGTGCTAAAAAAAGTGCTACGAAAGCTTAATAAAATTTACACCTACCAACTCATGAACTATCTTCAAAATGGCTTCCTTGGCTGCTTCACAGTTATGCTCGTAACCAGTCAAGACAATCTTGTCCGCGTCAGCCTCCGAAGATTCCACGGGTGGAAATTGTATCTGTACTCCGTGTTCGGTGCGGATCTTCTGAATAACTTGTCCTTTGCGGCCAATGATCTTAGGGTGATAAGAACTAGCGACGGTTATTTCCATTTTGAAACTTCGTAGTTGCTGCGAAAAGAATGGAAATGACCATTACTCTAGATGGGAACGTTATTCTAAGGTTGGCGCGTCTAAAATCTGGCCCGAATTACACATTATTGTGGCTTCTAACTGGTGTTTGTCCTGGCCATTTGTTCCCACCCTTGATTGTTTCTACTTATCAATTGCTTCTTCTACCCCTTTTCATTTCATCCTTTTACCGTTGAAGAAAACTAAAGTCGAAAAGTAAACCAGAATTGCTTTGCTTTTACTTTAGGTCGTTGTGTGATTAGTCCAGAAAACTTGCGCCACTTTTCCAGCCAATCAGATTCAAGACCAACCGACCGCGACTAGGTCGGCCACGTTTTCCCGCTCTTCAGGTAGTTGGCTTGTTTATTCTCCAAGTTCTCACTAGCTCCTCGGATTTTCCTTAGTATGATTGATATTGATTTACTATTGATTGCTTTGGTTTCGATTTTACGACAATCAATCGAAAAGCTCTCTAACCGCACCCTGCCGGGAGCATACCACGAAAGCGCACGGCAAAAATCACGTATAACGATCATTTAAGACAAGGTCCTTTTATACAGATCAGAATCTTACCCGATCTTCATTCTCTGCCTCAATCACAGCCACCTTCTGTTCAAGCGCCTCGATAGCCTTGTTGACCTTGGGACGAGTACCAACAATGACTACCTGGTCAGACTCGTCCTTAGAGGGGGGTATGGTAATATTGACGTCAAACTCGTCCATCATTTGACGGACATTGGCTCCTTTGGCGCCGATTATAAAGCGGTGGTAATCAAATGGAATGCTCATCATCTCTGTGATTGGGACAAGTTCCTGGAAGCAAACAATTAACAGGGTGTAAGGCGTAAAAAACTTCAGCGCAAAGAGGCAGACACGGCATTGGACATTGGATGGCTCGGGTACACAAAATCTCGTCGATTTAGCGCAAATTGCCACCCCTTCCGCTGAGGAAACATGTCTACATACCAGTAATGCTTCTTTAGCAGCTTCAGCATTATCCTTAGATCCAGTAATAGTGATGATGTCACACTTTCGGGGACTAGCCGGGGGGGAGCCAGCTTCATCGCCGTTCACCTCCACGGGGGAGGAGCTGCCATTAACCATGCCTTGTCCCTTAGCTGCCGGGTCTCGGTCGGGAAACTTGATCTGAACATTGTACTGTGAAGTAACCTTCTGGACATTGACCCCTTTGGCTCCCATGATGTTACGGTGGTACTTCTGAGGGATGACGCACTCGATGGACACCATGGAATCCAGCTCATCTACAATCTCTAGGATCCTTTTCTTTGCTCCGTCGATGCAATCCTTGGCGCCTTTCAGGACAACACGATCAGAGTTCACGCCGTTCCTGGGGAAACTGACCACAACTCCGCCGAAGTCGTCGGCGATCTCGCGCAGTTTTTCACCTCGCTTGGCAACAAAATACTTATGGTGTTTGGGGTCTACGTGTACCTCGCCTTCGACGATGTTGTCCTGTAAAAGGGGGGAAATAACCACGTTTTCACTGAAACTATCTAAATAAATACGTTATGTGGGATCTTAGAAGCAGTTGCATATTAGGGTGAAGGAAAAGAAAATGAGAGACGTTTACATGCTAATCTATCCACAATCAGCTTGCAAAGGAATTTCCTCAATTTCCTCAGGCGTTGACAAGAAAAATTTGTTGAACAATCACGAGCTTGTTTAGTTCGTAATCATTTCTTTTATTCCCGTGACCTCAATTCTCGATTCATGGGTGAAAGGAGAAATTAGATGCTAGTCACTCTGAGGGGCCAGAAAGTTTAAAACATATCTGTACCAGATCCTTGATTGCTTTCATCAGCTCTTGCTTGGCTGCCTCCACTCCTTCCTTCTTTCCAATGATGGTGATCAGTTCCTTGTCTTCATCACTTGGTGTCGGGAAAACGATCCTTGCTCCTGTATTCTCGCGCACCTTTCTGATGTTGGATCCACCCCGTCCAATTAAAAAGCGGTGATGCTGTGGCTTTGCACGAATCTCTAGGGTGTAACTATTGGTCTCCTGTGACACGGAAGAAAAAGTGAGATTTAATTTCATGAAAACCTTAATTAGTTTTGATTTGTACTTGCTACTAGTTACTTGACTGTCGCATATTGCGAGTCTGAGTAGTCTTAAAATTTATAAATTCACCTGACAATTTTCATCTCAGCCTTGCAAAATAATATTGAAAAAACCCTTTAAATTCAATTTTGTAGGAGCTCAAACTTTTCCTTGACAAAATGAATTACTGATCTGAAAACTGTCCGTGCATTGTAGGATTGAGCGATCAACAACTGGCAAAACCGATCTCAGTCCTTTTTACGTGTACTGTGACGAAAATCAGTGAATGACCCCGATATACTTGGAGAAAAAGAATTCCAAGTGCTCCCGATGGGATTTGCACCTACGACCTTCCGATTACTACTGCGAATGGTCTACCATTGAGCTATTGGAGACTAGTGGCAGGCTAAGGCGTTTAACTGGGTCCATGGGGACAAACGTCGTGCATAATGCTAACAGAGGAATGTCGATATGATGCTTCTGCGCGATGAGGATGTAAATGAAGATGGAGAATTTTAAATCTTGCGATTTTTATGCAAAACATCAATTTTTGAAAACTTAATTTCTAACCTTTTCATTCAAAAGCTCCAGAAGCTGTTTCTTGGCTTTTTCCACATCATCCTTTGGTCCACGAATAAGAACTTTGTCACTGTTGGTTCCCTCAGGTGGGAATTTAATACTTACTCCCCCACAATCATCCATGATTGAACGGATCAACCGGCCTTTTGCACCAATCACAGCATTGTGATGTTTGTGTGGGATAATCACTTCAATTTGGGTGACATTTGCCTGAAAAACATACGTGTACATTTGTTAACCCTCTAACGACAAGCACCTCTTTCAAAATTCTCTGCGTTTGTCGCTATATACATTTACCTCTGTACTTCTACGCAAACTAGTTACGAGAATCTGGTCTAAAAATTAACACAACAAGCTGTTTATTAGTCCATGGAAAACGGAGAATTTTCTGATCACTGGTCTTTCATTTGCCTGAAAAACGTACGTGCGCTTTCGTTAAATCCTTAACACCAAAGATCTCTTTCAAATTTCTCTCTGTTAGATGCTTTTTACTTCTATGAGAGATAGTTCTGAGAATTGAGTAAGATGACAGGATGTTCAACAGTAAATGGAAATCAGAGAATTATCTGGCTAAATTTCAATGGCCCTAACTACCGTTCATCCCGTTACTAAGAACATCCTTTCGTTATATCACAGTATGCTCCTGCCCCTATATTCTTGATTTAATTTCCTGAGATAATATCGTGAGATAACACTGTCTCAATGAGGAAGTCTAGTTTCTTATTCTCATCACTGCTATATGGATAATGTAAACATGTGGTTAGGAGATTTCAAATTTTAGTCACTTCTTGGAAACTGAGTGTTAAGCCTTGAATCTACACTCCTCGAATACAACAGGTAAATCCTTACCAGCTCATTCTGTATTGTTGTTATGCGGTCACGTGCAGCTTCCACCTGTGCCTTGTGTCCTGTAATGACAATGACGTCACTGTCACTTCCTTCAGCTGGCAGCTCAATCTTTGTGTCAGTTTCTTCTCGGATCTGCAGAGTAAGCAGTGACAGATATTTAGACAGCACATAGATGAGAAGAATCTACAAATCTAAACTTCAGCATTCATATTCTCCAAATTGTTTGCTTCATGTTTCCTATGGTACTGGTAGAGAGAATTAGTCAGACAATCAGGAGCTTCTCTTGGTCTCAATAACTTCACTCATTCTCATAACCTTTATTATTGGTTGAAGGATGATACAGTAAGGGGAAACTAAATTACCCTGTGATCTAGAATTACATTGGTCTTGCTTTACTCCATTCAGTAACAGGAAAACTTGCTCGACACGTCTCAGTAATTAAGTGAAGCCAATCAAGACTTGTACCCAACCACACCAAAGCTTAAAAGCTGTTTTGTTCAAAAAAGTTTAAAATTGTTTTCTCCCCAAAAGCTGCTTGGACCAAAAGTACAAGTTAATGACAACCTTTTACCGCAATCAACTGAGGCTATTTCTATTTCTGGTTAACAACACACAATACCTTCTTGATGGTTGCTCCACCTCTGCCAATCACATTCTTATGGAACTGTTTAAAAATGGGAACTTCAACACGGTAGTTAGCAGCGATCTAAACAAAATAAAACAGAAAAAAGATTCAGCGCATCTGCCAGCTGACCTATAATATCTATCTTGTTAGTTTGTCTTGTCAAGCAACCCATTTACCAATTACAACATGCCAAGAGATGTTTAAAACTATGTAATTTGTCAACAGAATAAATATGATTATATCAAAAAAAACATATAAATAAGTCAATATCAGAATGCTGAATGTGCAAATATGGTGACACAATGTTAAAAAATTAGGATGATTTTTCAGCCAAAACACCCTCTAATGGTCAAGCATTTGGTCTTTCATACATGTGACTGTAACAATTACCTTTTTGTACATAACGAACGATTTGACTTTGAGCAAGCTTTTCCCAACAGAATAGCAACAAAAAAAAAGAGAGTTCAGCTTGTAACATACTTTAGCTGCCCTAAAAGAACAAAATTGTTCAACTGAACCAACAAGTATTACCAGTTCAGAGCTCAGTTTCTTGAGCAAAGTGTAAACACCATCTACATCTTCTCTGGGTCCTCGTAAATTCACAATATCACTCATTTTGCCAGCATCAGGGAAGGAGATTTGAACTTCTGGATATTTCTCCCGAATCTCACGGATCTTTCCTCCCTTAGTGCCAATGATGGTTCGGTGGAATCGTTGTTCAATAAGAATATCTTTGGTCTTTTCATTTTCCTGCAAGGAGCAGCACATCAAAAGAATTTTCACACATGGACGACACTTGAAAAACTGATCTTACTTTGAGCTACATTTATGATGGGAACCCTTTAATAAACATTACAATGAGTAAAAATTCTAAAGGACATTGGAAAGGAAACAGAATCTTTCAATGTGACTTTCCCATAATTTGAGTAACTTTTCAACTCCCACAAGTGATCAACACAGACTTTCTCCTTTGCAATATCAACATAATATCAAGCAAACAAGTGATGAGAATTCAGAAAAACATCAGAAAGGGGATTAATTAGTTGATGCAATTATCAAATTCTCCAAACTACCATCAAAAGAATTGTATGACAGACAGTAAGGAGAATTAATAACAAGATAATAAGCCACACCAAAAATGCCATACTGCCAAAATGGCAAAAACAAACAAACAAAAAAATTGAAAACTGCAAAAACATTTTGCACAAATAAACTTACCAGTTTCTTAACCATTTGCAATATTTCAGCTTTGGCCAAAGCTACTCCCTTGGGTGAACCTTCAATCCTCAGTACATTGCTCTTTTCGTTGTTGGATGGAATCAAAATGGATGTTCCTGTTTCAGTTTTAATGCGGTTTACTGAAAAATACAAGCAGAAACACATGTACGCTCCATTGCTTGGTTTGTTTTCTTTTCACAAACACTTGAAAGGTATCACAATCAAACTGCAATTTGATGAAGTTTATGGTCATACCATTGCTTCCATTTTTGCCAATGATGTGTGGGTGATACTTATGGTCAACTGTGATTTCTGCAAAGTCCATGGATGCTCTCTGTCATTTGGACAACAAAAGCAGTGGTTAGTGAGAAATCAAACACAGATTTTACTGACAATAATAAGTTCTCATAATTTACCCATTTATTTTCATCTAGTCACATTTGCCTAGCTTCCCATAATAGAGGACTTAAATATCTCACTTTTTCAATATTTTACTTTTTCATTTTACATGTTTGGCCATTCTGAGCTGTCTCAATCTCATCACGACTCTTATGTCCCCATCTACACAGAAAACTTACCAGACAGAGAACTCTTTCGAAAACAAAACACACTTCTGACGGTTATCAAAATGTAAGGACTTCTGTTGTAAGACAAACATTGTCACATATTTGATCTACCTTTGGTTAAACCTGAACTCACCAGTTCTCTAATAAATGTCTCAAGGGATTCTTGTGCCTTCTCTACTTCCTGAGGGGGTCCTTCTAGAGAGACGCTGTCCTTCTCATCACTGAATTCAACATGAACCTGTCAAAAATCACCGTCCTATTACGTCATGCACATAAAAACAACAAAATTACACACTGGACATAGAACTGTCATGTGCAGAGGTTTCAATAATCCTTTACACCCTAAAATCAGCATCCACAGTCTCCATACTCCTCTCTATACTTTTCCTTTAGTACTGACAAGGAGGCTCTCTTGTTTAGGTTGCACTATAACAACTCCTTGCCGGGCACAGCTGCATATTGCACCATCGACAGCGGCTTATTGAAAAAGTTACTGCAACTGCTGTATCTGAGAACATACAACTGTTTGCAGTGTGTACTTGTGCTTTGTGTTGACTTCCAAATCTAACAAATGAATTAAGGGGTTTCTTCTCCGCACAATTTTCAAACCTCCACCAGAAAACAAGTGACAAGAATAGAAAAATTATCAGCTGGATTTCTTGTTCTTGATACTAAATTCTCCCATCTGATTTACAAAGAAGAGTATAACAACAAGAGGGAAGAATGTCAAATCACATTGAGGGAATGAAAAGGTAGATTAACTAAAGCTGCCAACCTTTTGTAAATCCTGGGTAATCTTGCGTATATTCTGTCCTTTCCTGCCAATGATAAACCTGTGAAGCCAGCGGGGTGCATCAACCTCGGCACTTACAACACTACTTGCTTTCTCATACACCTGGGTCAAGGCTGTCCCAAGTTTATCTGGCTCACCACGCAAGGTGATGGTCTCTGAATCACTGTCTAAAGGTGGCATCTCCACAGACACACCTGAGAAAATAAATTTCCCCACCAAAAATTCACCTCTCATTTTCTTGATAATTATATGATTAAATTAATTGCCTTAACCTTTTAAGCATGATTACCTGGAATATAAAAGGATGTTTACATTTTAACTGTCTTTAGCTTGCCAAAAGGCTTCATTAGAAGAACTGGGTAAGTGAGCATAGTAACACCGAGTTGAAGCTGCTAATTCATGATGCCAGAGCATCATTACCCTCTAATTATCAGGTGATCAACATATAACTTCTCCCCATAGTATTCATACATTATCCAGCAAACAAATAATAATACTCAGACTTATCAGGTAGAAGTTGTTATCCTAAGATCTAACAAAATTCACATCACTAATTTACTGGGGCATGTGTAGCAGCTAAAGGGGAGAATTAACAATCACATTTTGGGAGTTTAAGGGTTGATGCAGCTTGTTCATGAAACTTTGGGCTGGGCCTAGCTTAAAACAGGAGTCTATCCACAGGTTAAACTGCACAGCATTTCATTCTAACATTATCTGTTAGAAATGGAAAGAAAAATGATCTATACTCCTTTTGAGACTTTACTATCTATACTTTCACTACAGGAAATTTACTATTAAGCAGTCAGTTTTTCTTTTTCTGAAGGCTTCCTGTTGATATATATTTCTGAACTTCATTCCTATACTCACCAGTAAGAGCCAGTATTTCCTGCAGGGTACCTCCACGTGGACCAATCACATATTTATGCTGAGACTTCTTTACTTCAATGGACACAGTGGTTGTCTTCCGTTTTTTCTCCTCATATATAGCCATAATGATTTCCTTTGCCTTAGCCACACCTTCCTTCTCCCCTGCGATAGTGATCTCGTCCTTCTGAACAGATGGAGGTGGGATGTTGATACGTGCTGAAGTCTGTTCCGTGATCTTTGAGGCATTGGCTCCGGATATGAAAGGATGGTAAAAATGTTCAATGTTGAGTCTTTCAAAGGCAAGTTTAGCCTGCAAAAAAAAATTTAAAAACAGTGAAATAAAAAACAGTGAGGAATTGTGAGGTGTTACTTAACAAAAATTTTCCCTCAAACACCAGGCCTCCACTCAAGCCAGGTGGCTCATTCAGCCCAAGCTCATCTCAGCTTCTGTGGCACAAGTGGAAAAGGAGTATTGCAATTCCCCAACCCAAACCAGAATGGGATACAAGTCAGTCACAAGTTCTCCCATTAGGCTCCACAGACCATTAAGCCATACATAGTCCTGGCTGAAGAGGGGCAGTGTAAGTGGAAATCATCTTGCTGAAAAAACTCACCACAGAACAAGGTCTTCACCTAAGACCTATTAACTTGAGGCGTGTAGTGCTGACCCTAACACCACAACATCATCTCAAAATTTCACTTTAAAAACAGACCATAACAGCATCTCAAAATTTCATTTTAGAAACAGGCCACAACATCATCTCACAATTTCACTTTAAAAAAAAGCTACAACATAACCTCACAATTTCACTTTAGAAACAAGCCACATCATCTCACAATTTCACCTTAGAAACAAGCCACAACATCATCTCACAATTTCACTTTAGAAAAAAGCTACAACATAACCTCACAATTTCACTTCATAAACAGGCCACATCATCTCACAATTTCACTTTAAAAACAGGCCACAACATCATCTCACAATTTCACTTTAAAAACAGGCCACAACATCATCTCACAATTTCACTTTAGAAAAAAGCTACAACATAACCTCACAATTTCACTCCATAAACAGGCCACATCATCTCACAATTTCACTTTAGAAAAAAGCTTCAACAAAACCTCACAATTTCACTTCATAAACAGGCCACATCATCTCACAATTTCACTTTAGAAACAGGCCACATCATCTCACAATTTCACTTTGGAAAAAGCTACAACATCATCTCACAATTTCACTTCAGAAAGAGGCCTCAATATTAGCTCACAATTCACTTTAGAAAAAGGCCACAACATCACCTCACAATTTCACTTTAGAAATAGGCCACAACAGCATCTCACAATTTCACTTTAGAAACAGGCCACAACATCATCTCACAATTTCACTTTAGAAATAAGCCATAATATTAGCTCACAATTCACTTTGAAAAAGGCCACAACATCACCTCACAATTTCACTTTAGAAATGAACACAACATCACCTCAGAATTTCACCTTAGAAACAAGCCATACCATCATCTCACAATTTCACTTCAGAAACAAGCCACATTATCTCACAACTTCACTTTAGAAACAAACCACAACATCATCTCACAATTTCACTTTAGAAACAGGTCACAACATCATCTCACAATTTCACTTTAGAAACAGACTACAACATCAACGTCATCTCATAATTTCACTTTAGAAACAAACATCAACATCATCTTACAATTTCACTTTGGAAACAAACCACAACATCATCTCACAATTTCACTTTAGAAGCAAGCCAAAAAGGATCTTATACTCAGAAACTAAAATTGAGAAAAAATTAGTTGACAAATTGTGCCTAAGCAGTAATCTTGATCCTTTAAATCCCAAGATCTGAAAGTTAATTCTCCCCTCCTGCTGCTGCACATTTTCTTTTAAATAAGTCACAAAAATTTGGTGTTAGATCAAGAGAAAAACCTCTACTTGACAAGTTTAAGTGTCCTCATGACCTGTCTGTCTGTATGGATATGAAAGGGAGAAGTTACAAGTAAATCACCTCTGGGAGTTAAGGGATTAAGACATCAGATAACACTTCTTTTAGCATTGCACAATAATCTGCAAAAGGGAATGCTACTCCAATATTAAATATTTCTTGCTTGCAACTGAACAGAGAAATTTTAGAACACTACAGTTAAGAAGGAGAAGTGCCAAGGCCAAAAGGGGTGAAAATTAAATCATAGGGGGGCTTGAAAATGCCAATGTGTCAACAATTCTGTCTCTGACTGCTGCTATGCCTTGTATGAGTAATGAAATCTGCCTTATTCATGCAAAGCTGTGTTAGGCCACCTAAATAACTGCCAAACCTACGTTTCTTTAACTCACTCCACCCAACACTAATTATCTCCTTGCAACTTACCTGTTCATCAGATATGATCTGAATCTCATGCCGAGCGCTGTCCACACCTTCTTTTGTTCCCACAATTCTTATGGTATCAGATCCATCCCTAGGCATGGTGATTTTCGTCGCAGTTTGCAATTCAAGTGTCTGAAGCGTTTTGCCTCCTTTACCAAGAATGAATTTGTGATGTTCACGGGGAACGTTGAGTTCAACATTAGCCTAAAAATTCAAGATTACGTCAATTATGTTCATAAAACCCTACTGCCCTTCAACCTCTAACACTGACCAAAGTCTAATTCCTTCTTACATTAAATCCATGAATCACACGTTAAAGTCATGAGCATTGAGGAAATGATCACCAACTAGGCCTAAAATTAAAAGGTTAACTTCCATTATGTACATATAACACCACTACCCTTTGACAGTGACTAGTGTTAAATTTTTTTTCCTTATTCTCATTACTTGTTTGCTTGAAATAGTACTGACAGTGTAGGGAGAAATTCTGTCTAGGTCACTTGTGCAGCTTGCAGGGTTAACTCTTTACACCCTAATATTGGTTGTTATATTCTCTACACTGTTTTCTTCACATTTTTTATGTTACTGACAAGGAGAAGTTGTTTGACAATCAGGAGCTCCTCAAAATTGTTGATTATTTCCTGTATTCTTGTGACCTTTACATTTGATTCAAGGGTGAAATTAGATGCCAGTCACTCTTAGAGGTGAAAGGTTGAATGAAATATAAAACCCAAATATCTGTCAAACTCCTTTGAGTACCAGCAGGTATGCTAGAATTCTCATTACAAATATATACATTTTTCAGGTACAAACTGCTTTTACCTGAGTCTGAAGTTGGGTTAGCACCATACGCCTAGCTTTTGCCAGTAATTCTGGTTTTCCAGTCACCATGATTGTCAAGCCTTGATCTTTTCCTGAACTGATCTCAATTGAAGCTCCGGTCTTCGCCATAATGTCACGGCAGATCTCTCGTTGACGGTCATCTCCAAAAGCATTTTCATTGGGCTGTTTGTAACGCCTTTCCTCCAGAGGAACTCGGAAGACCTACATTGAGAAGTAAAAAAGAAAACAAAAAACATTACCCAGGATTGTAAAGTACAATCACCACAAATAACAGCAATTCCTCTTTTCTTTACAAAACCTCTGTATTCTAAAGAATTGCTGGCATATTAAAACAACTGTTTTTTTCATCCTTTTACTCACAACAGCCAAAATCTTCATTCTCCACATGGTCTGTGCAATTATTTTTTGTCAACTATAAGTGAGAGAGGCTTTCATTTCAACCTAAGCAGATTTTTAAAGATAATCTGTGTTCCAAATCTACATCAGAGGCTGTATCTTCATCTAATGGCAAAGGGAGCCAGCAAAAACCCATCCCCATTACTGAGTGCAAGATCCACCATCCACTGATTCTAATTAAAAACCTACATAGAAACTTTAAATCCCTGAAGATATCATACTCAAATCTAAACAGCAAAACAATCAAAGACAAAAAAAAAAAAGACATGTTGAGAAACAGCAGTGATACCATCAAAGGGCTGTGATACACTTCTCTGTAAGAGAGAATCTGTAACTCTTTGTCTTTGCCAACTCTAAACACATTCTACACCCTTTGAGGACAAAGCCCCAGTGCTTTAATTTCAAAGACATGCTTTACAGTAAAAAATGATTTTATCTAACGTCTAGTTAGATTTGGATATCATATTAATTTATTACCACACGCTCAACAAAAGTGTAGAAAGAGATCTGACCCTTTTCTGTGATATGAAAAAAGAAAATGACTTCTAACCAAAAAGGAATATTCTTTTATCAAACTAACAATTGACACAAAAGACAATTTTTGAGACAATTTCTCTCTCCCTGGAAATCTTTCATCTTATGTCCATTTAAAATTTATCTTTCAAAAAGCATTTTAAAGGAACCAAAAGAGAAAGTGACGCATTTAGACGTGGATCAAAAGAGGTTAATAAAAACATTAAAAATGAAGCTTGGCTTGGCACATTTTACACTAACCCTACAAGAACAAAAGAAAAGTTAACAAATTGCTTCCATGGAAACTGAAGCAGGAGAAAAAAATTTTATGTTATTATTTATTTAATCACCTGATCAAGTTTTGTTTACAGAAATTCTTTCTTGTGTTAATCTTCATGATACAACCTTTCCACCTCTTTTATTTCAAAAGTTGCATATTAAGATACTGATTAATTCACAGATAGCTAGCCACTCCTGTCCTGAAGTTGGTGTCTCTCTGGACAACTGTAACAAGTAGGATTATTCCCCTACCACTAGAGACTGGAGAAGTGAAAAAACACCTCCAGTAATTAGAAACAAGATCATATCATATTTCTGTTTTTCTCTCTTCTGGAGGGCATGAACAATTAAGTTTTTTAAATCATGAATTAATGGAAAATTTTTTAGTGAAGAAAGAAAAGGAATAAATATATTCATTATATTTCAACTCTTAGTCCTAAATGTATTTAGATCTAATTACAGTACCACATACTAGCTAATGTTACTGGAAATTACAGCAAAATAACTCTTGACATATCTTGCTTGACACAAAGGATGCTTGATCATTTTATGTGGGGGCTTACAACAAATCGCTTATTTTCATGATTGGAATATTAGTTTTAATATGAAGTGGGCTGTTGGCAGGACACGTAGGGAAAAATTAACTCTATTCAGATAGTTATTGTTCGCTATGCAAATTGCCTATTTCGTGACAACAATGCCGGCGAAACTCGAAGAAACATGTGATCAGAACTTTAAGACTGTTTTGTACATGTCGCTAAGACCTCACAAATACCTTTTTACTTAGTTATCAAAGAAGGCACGATAAAAACGGAACGCTAAAAATTAACTGTGAAACGTTAAAGCGTGAATTCAGAAAGTGTGGATCAGCAATATAGAGGTATTTTTCATTATTCGTGAGAAATGGTTTTCGACTATTTTCTACTCAGAACTCAACGATTAAAAAAACTTGGCGATCAACTACATAATTCCATTGAATTTAATGTGTCGTGAAATAATGTCAACATTTTACCAACCATTGAGGCAAGAATTATGAAAATATCACTTAAATTATTGATGCTTTGTATGGTTCAAAACTAACTAGCAAAATTCTGTCGAGATTGAAACAGAAAAACGCTCAAATGTTAAAAAAGTACACAAAGGAAAAACGTCTCAATATAACGACAATGTTCTTTGGCAGTTACTATGTCAGGGAATAATTTAAGGAAACTATTTCTTCATACTTCAACAACAGCCAACACCGTAAGCCGTGGGCTGACCGGAAGACCTGTAAACGTGGCTTGAAGAACTAAGCATCGCTCATTGTCTATCGAGAGGAAATATTCTAGGCGTAACAACTACTGACAAAAATAATTTTACAATAAGTGATACTATCTATTTCACGGACGTTCTTTTCCATATTATGAAATAAAAGCGATCCCGTGGGCGAAACAGAGAAAGGCAATTCTAGTCGTGAGGTTGTATCAATTTTCACGCTGAACGTAGCAATCTAAGTAAAGAACTCAAATCAGCTATATTCATACCAAACTAATAAATATTAGACAAGTTCAAAAAGAACAAATTAACCTTCACTCATTTAGAATTCCTCTTTAGGACGTTAATTTCCTTTTTGTCTCTATGCGATTTCAGTTATATATACCTGAGTCACAGTGGTGGAGCGAATCGGACCCGTTCCAGTTCGCCATTTTGATCCAGCGTCGCTTTGCGTTGAATTCTCCACATGAGCGCTTGGAAGGGGAGGGAAAGCTTCAGCATACGTCGGTTGATATCCCTCTAAGTCCAGTCCGTCATCTTCTTCGAAATGGTTATTCAAATCTTCCGGCGGGATGTAACCACCGTCGCTGTACACCGACCCTTGTAAGATTTCTTGAGGGTGGCTCTCGCCAGCAACAGGCTCCCCATTAATCTTGTCCATATTCTTTAAATCTGGTCCGTTAGCCGGTCAGGATCTGCAGTCCCACTAAGGTAAAAAAAACATAACACAAACCAAAGCTGTTAAAGACAAGACTAGACGGGAAAATACTACATCTTTACGGCACAATCACTTCTCGTGGCTAATCGAAGGTTATTCAATCCACGATTGCAAACAAAGGGGAATTCCACTAAAATTGGCTAACCTGCCAAGCAATGAGGACTGTTTCCGATAAAATCAGTCCAGGGATAGATTCCTGGGTTAGCAAGCCAGTATGACGACCAAAGGAAAGGAAGGGAAACTAAGTCTTTGGGCCAAATGGCTGAACGAAAAGAAACACCGATCAAGTACTTCTTAGAGAAGTATATCACGCGCGAGAGCACGACGACATCGATAAGTTCCTTTGTCTCACTTCCAAGATAATTACGTCATACACTAACCATCCAATCAAGTTATAAATTTTATTCGCTCCCAGTTTAGCCGAGGCTGCATGCAGGCGCAATATTTTGTTTGTGACTGCGGTAATCTTCTGAAGAGGATTTTTACGCCATGTCCTCTTGCGTGAACTAGTTAAGTGGAATGTCTCACTTCTTCCGCTGAGGCTGAAGAGCTAAAAAAGATCTCTTTGTCTCTTCCAGTCGAAGGTAAGACTGGGCTTCTGGGCATAACATTGGTACGCACAAAGATTCTTTTCCACAGGCTTCACATTTGTCGACCTTTGGATACTTTAAACCCGCAAATGTTTCGACGAGAGCGAAAACGAGTTGGCCCGATTGAGAGAAACAGGAAAAACAATTCACCCAACAAGGTGGTCACAATCTCCACGTAATCGCGTATAGAATCTTTAAGCTTACCAATCCGTTATTACCTTCGATAAAAAATAAAAAGAATTATGAAAAGAAAAACGAGAAATTGTCGCAGAAATTAAGGTAAAGCCTTTTATTCTGGCTCTCAGCCCATTTTTCAAGATTTTTGTCTTGTTGTTGTTAAAAAAAGGCTAGAAGTTGCGAATTGTGTGTAATTAAATGCATCAAAGGTCCGTATAAAATGAAACGATGCATTTTTAAATGGTGTGATAATGATTCAAAATTACATTAACGAATAACACACATAATAAATCTCTCTTTTCCTACTAACAAGTAATTATATATCTCAATATAGTAAAATATCTCTTAAATAAATAACTCTCCGCTTTGCATTTTAATATAAACTTCTTTATATACTACAGTTATATATCCGATCATTTGTATTTAATCTACATTATATGAAATAAACTTTACGTGCGTGTGACCAGCACTCTTCAATAAAATTAAAATATATATATACTTTCGATTTAATCTTTGATATCAGAGTCATTCAAGTTTCAAGGAATCAAACACTTAAGCAAGTTTACGACCTCGGTCATAGGAGGCCTTTCCTCGGGATTGCCATTCCATGATGACGTCATCAGCTCCCTGTACCGGTTGTCTACGTCATTTCCCTCGGGGATCTCCGGACGCAGATTACAGGCAACAACTCGGAAGATCACAATCTGATGATTTTGTAGCTTGTACGGAATTTCACGGGTCCAAAACTGCCACAAGCAGATTCCTAGGGAAAAAACGTCAGCTTTGAAGGTGGGACTTTCCCCCTTCAGGAGTTCGGGAGCCCGGTAGGCATATGTTCCGGTGAGATACGATCGTGACGGTGTATTGGGCCGTTCTTGGATGATCTGACAGCATCCAAAATCGGCGAGTTTGCAGCTACCATCCGGAGCTATAAGAACGTTGGCGGGTTTTAGGTCGAGATGTGCGATGTTATTGTCATGCACATATTCCAAGGCAAGCGCCACCTCGTATGCAAATGAGACGCGCCGTTTAAAATCGACTTTTTCATCCGCGTCGTCCAGCACATGTTGCAAGTTTCTTGAACTGACGAACTCCATGATTATAAACGGTTGTTCTTCAAGGCTGCGCGCTGCGTTGGTTCCCAATACTCGCACGATGTTTGGATGTTTCAGAGACAAGACTTCGTGGTGCACTTCAGCCTCGAAGCTTTGCATCGCCGCTTTTTTGTTGCGAGTGTTGGTGTGAAATTTCTTCATGGCAACCTTGCAGTTCTTGTGCATAGCTTCGAAGACAGAACCAAACCCACCTGATCCCAAAAGGCGAATGACCTCGACCTCGTTGACATCGACTCGTGATATAAGTTCAACAGAGCTTTGACTTAGCATTCTCATTTTGTCTTCTGTTCACTATGGAAAGCAGTAAGTTTCCAGGATTCCCGGGTAACGGTATACTTAGGTGTAAAGCTTTGCTAATGAGGCATGATCGTGCCGCAGGGGAGTTATCATTACCCTTGGGTGTACATAAACAGATTTATGACCATTCATTGAAAGCTGAGAGAAATTAAACTGTGAAGTTTGAGTGTTAGTTAGGTGGCCATTTGATCAAAGTGTAAATATCACCAGCTTCCAACAAACGACTGCTATTAATGACGCACCTCTGAGACATGAGATGAAAAGAAGGACGCTCAAACATCTTTTAATTATTAAGAGACGGCAAATGTGGGCATTTTTTTTCTCCAAATAAAGGAGAAGTGGAGAGATACTCTGTCCTGTAAAAAAACACGCCAAAAAAATCAAAAACTCTATTCTCCTGATTATCAAATAAACTAAAAGATTCATCCTCACCAAGTTTCAGTAACACCAGCGGCATGCGATAGATTTATTCATATAAGTGACTTCCATAAAATTTCTCGTTACAGGATCACCTCTGAATCAAACATTAAGGTTATGGGAATAAAGGAAACGATCACTAAGAAAAGATGTAAGCTCTTTATTGTTTGATAAATTTTCCTATAATTAATACCACAGGAAATTGTGCAGAGAAGTGTGGAGAATAGTTATACTAATGTAATGGTATAAAAATTTAAATCAATTTGAGGAAAAAATAAACTTGAGGCTATAAAAATCGTTCTCAGGGAGAGCGTGGACGGGGACGGGGGAGGGAGAGGGAGATAAGGGAAGGAAAGAAGGAAAGTTATGTTAAATCTCAATGAGAAAAGGGAACAATGAAAACCAGTTGCCGGAGATGATGGCAAAAGTTTCAAGAGAGGGTCTGTCGAAAGTCCCCCCAGGGAAATAAAATGTTTCATTTTGTTTGAAGATAATGCATTGATGAAAACATGTTCCCTATTAATTGTGGAAATAAAAATGGATGCCACGAGTCTTCTGTCACGTGGTTTATAAGAAGATACAGACACAAAAAAATTTTAAAACATTAAACAAGAACATATTTTTTTGGATGCAAATTCCTTCTAAAAATCCTATGTTATGCGGTGATAAACAGGATAACACCTATATGAAAATAAATTTAATTTTCCACAAAACTGTAACCTTTTTACAAAAATAGTGACTCTGGCATCTTGAGTCTGAAATTTTCGTGCGATTTTCAATGAATATTTTTTAAAACTACACTTACACCAGCTCTTCTTTGCGAATTCATCGGCAACCATCACAAGACGCCAAATAATTGCGGTATAAAGGTTGGCATTCTTATAAATTTGACGACGGAAAGAGTTCGAAAACGGATCATTCTTGCAGGTCTCCCTTTTGGAGCCCGTGTAAGGTAGCACATTGGTGTTGCTAAGCAACTTAAACTGTAAATGAGCGTTGTATGTCCCAAATCTTGGCGTTTTTTGATGAGAAAGTCTGAATAATTATTCTAGTTAATGCATTTCAGGTACCACGCCGAGAGAGAGAAAAAGAGTGCGTGTAATATCCGATCGTTACGAAGTATCGAGTATCTCTTTAACTTTCTTCTCATAAATTTAAAATTTGAAACGCGAAAAAAATATGGAGGGATTGTTATTGATGGGTACGTGATCATTATCGCACTTCTTTTTCACTCTCCGCAGTGTGCGCCCCACCCACCCACCCCCCATTCAATTTTTATCTCACATGTGTGCCACTATTAATTTTGTGAAGGTAAGAGAACTCTTCATCCAAAGGTTATCTAAGAGAATATCATGACTATACTCTGATTAAAACTAACTTAAACTAATTAAAACTTTTCTCGTCGATGTCAATCAGATCCAACTTTACCGGATCGATAATTTACCTTAAACAGGTCAGTCAAATTCCCCCCAAAAAAGAACAGTTTGAACGTTTCCTATGAAATCCTTTCGCTCACTTCTTTACGCTGCATGCTTCTCACACAACCAGAGATGTTCATTGGTCCTGTTGTTGTATGTACAGACCAATGGTCCTAGTCTCCACCAATCAGGCGAGATCTCCAACAGTTTGCACATCTTTCTGCGGCTTAGCCCTTCATAACTCTGCACAAATTCTAAGTCTTCCTGCATGAAACCCATGTAGCTGTTCTTCAGTTCGGGAAATTCCACAAAGTAGTGCTCTAACAAGTCCTGGATGTCCGTGACGAGAACGTGACGTAGTTTTGCCTCGCCCAAGATAATCTTGACCGGAACATGTCCCTGGTCAGATCCGTCGGGGGCGTCGTCATCTCGTAGCATAAAAGCGAGTTTCAAAAGCTTGCACGCACGCGCTCCAAAAACGTCCAGGAACGCTCGGATGTCTGGGATTCGGAAGCCTGGCCCCTCCGTAAAATGCCAGTATCCGGGACATTCGCACAGGAAATGCACAGAATAGCCATCTTTTATGGGTGAGTTGACCCGAAGCCGCTTCTTGAAGGCCGGGCTTTGAAAGCCTATCGGGAACACCGCCGGGAGTCTTGGACAGTAGCAGTCGTCCAGAATCCTGCCTGCCTCGTCGAAAAATACCCCGAGCCTGACCTCGCCCTTCGCTGGTAGTTCAGAAGGAAGTGAGACTAGAGGAATGTCTCCACGAATTACAGCAGCCTCTGTACTGAGATCGTGCCCCCACGAACAATAGTTACAACCATCTTTGACAAGTTCGCTCAACAGCGCAGGATTCTTGAAACCAGCGAGTTCACACGCGGTGCAAACGATCTGCCTCACATAGCGTATCCCAGGATACCGCGTATCAACCACTGTTTTGATCGCAGCTCTCACATCTGGAAGCACACAGCAGGGAGATGGACCGCGTATAATCACTTTCAACTTGTGCTCGAATGGTACACCCTCCACACTAACCCGATGTACCTCCAGATTTTCTGCTAAAGGGTGCATCTCTTTACAGTGGAGGGAGCAACCCATGCTGGCCAACAATGTCGTTGCGAACACCATATGGAAGCGAAAGAACGTGGGTTCTACCTCAAAGTTGTTCGGCAGTTTCCTTCGGTTAATGGCAATCGTCAAATCGCTGAAAAAGGTTGGAGGAAGGAAGCTGAAATGGAACTCACAGCTGATCTGGCGTTGGCCATCCGAAGGCCTCATCGGCCACGTGTCCTCGTCTGCTTTCCCGATCGGTAACTGGAAGGGAACCAGTTCCTCAGTTTCCGACAATGGAAAGCACAATCCTAAATTTCTGAACAAAGTCAACATCGCAAAGCGTTGTCCTTCAGGGACATCAGGCCAGGTTTTCGCCAGGTTGTCGATTCGTAATATTCCGTCCAAACCCGAACTCGCGCCCGAAGGTGACCCGACGAGGAGACACATCTGTTTGGACAGCCAGAGAGGATCGATGAAGATCACATCGCCAATATCCGGCATATCTTCGTACCAGAGGATTTCTCCTTGAGAATGAAAGTACGTCATCAGTGCCTTGAGTTTGAAGTCTTGTTTTACTCCACAGCCATTCGCGATCTCTCGAAGTCTGTCGTAGGTTAGAAGCGGCCAGTTCTTCAATTCATTCTCTGCGTTGCACATTTCCTGTATTCTGTCCCGCACGTACAAGCACTTCTGCGGGATTCGGGAACTGACCTTTGTGTTGAGGAGTATAGACGCGCTAGAACCCACGCCTACTGTGAACTTCTGCATGCTCCGATTTTTAGAGCTGAGGAGCTGTTTGGGAAACTGGCCATGGCAGCTGACTTCATAATAACCCACAACATGTGGGATACACGGAGCTGGAACAGGTCCAGGAACATGAGGGACAGTTTGTTCCTGGACATAGAATAAGGAGCCAGTAGAAGAGCCCTCACAGACAAGGGTCGCCTCGCAAAGACCGCAATGAGGCACAGCTTCTCCCTCAAATTGGCGTCTGTGCTCGCGACGATACTTGCTCAACAGATTCTCGATGTCTTGACGAATGCGTACTCGGATATCTTCGGTGAGTTTCGGGTCATCGGCGTGGGTACCAACAATCATCACGTGAGAGTTTGGAGCTCTCGAGAAGATGATTTGAAGCCAAAGTTCCACTCTTCCGAGCTGGTAAACTGAACACGAGGTCTTGGTGACCGTATAAGCACTCATGTCAAAAACGACCTGATAAAGAGTGTTCTCTGACAAGAAAAAGTGATGCGAGCTGAGCATGGCTTCGTCTCCTCCCAAATCAAACACTTTTAATCTGCAATCCATAAGATTCATGGAAGATATTTCGATTCCGTCAGTCGTAGTGGTCGGACCGACCCCGCTTATTCGCCAATCTTTGGTATGACTCAGACCCTTCACAAGTGAAGTCTTTCCAACGCCATTTCCTCCTACAACAATCATCTTAATTTGGTTGTTAGACACAGGATCGTCCAAGAATCCACTCAGGAACTCCAAAATGCTTTCAGTTCCTTTGTTTAGAATGTGAACCGGTGGGAATTTTAGACGATTTCTTGTAATTCCGAGATTTCGCAGCCTGGTCAGTAGGCCAATCGACGCAGACAATTTCTCCAGTTTGTTACTGGTCAAGTCCAGACTTTCCAGCGAGCCTAAGCATCCAAGTGTGTCTGGCAAGTTGTCGAGTGCATTCCGATCACAATGTACAAACTTTAACTTCTGCAGCCTGGAAATCGTGTCAGGGAGTTTCCTAATCTTGTTGCCACTTAACCGCAAACGTTGCAGACTTTTGAGCTCTCCTAGTTGTTCAGACAGACGCGATACGCCACATTTGACAACACACAAGCTTTTCACACTCACTACTGAGTATAGGGTCCCTGGTAGCTCTGCAGAGCCGAAATCGCAATTTGTTATCGTTAGAGACTCGAAGCAAGACTGGATCTGCGAGAAGTCGAACAGACATGGACCTTCTGAATTTAAAATAGTCAGTGACCTCACCGGAAGCATGGGTACGGTCTCGTTCACAAAGTTTGCCACTTCCGTTCCATTCTGACCAATGAAAAGGATCTTTGCGAGTGGGCGGTGCGATGCGGTGGTGTAAAAAAACGTCACTTGTCGGGTGAACTCGGTGATATTGCTGTTCACGACATGTTCCGAATCTTCATCCTCGTCACTAAGCCAGAACTCGCAACGCTTTCTCCAAGGGTCTGGTGGGTTAGGAAACTCACAGCCGCTCTCGAGAAGAAAGCGCACTGCATCTAAGCTGTTTTCTTTCATCGCCACGTCTATCGGAGTGTGTAACGCTTTGTCTTTGGTGTTCACATCGATAAAATCGACAACGGTTTCCAGGGAAGGAACATGATTGCGTTTTGCAGCGCGATGAATCAAGTTCGATCCCTCTTTGTCAAAATCTGGATGAAATGTAGACAACGTCACTTTATCCATAACACTGATCAGCACAGCTGCGTTGAAAACCTCTCTGACTTCATAATCTCCTGTTGAAAACTCTAAATACTTCACTGCTCCTACCTGCTGCGCATAACCGGCTCCTGTGACAGGAGAAACCGGTTTCTTTGACGCGTCTCTCTCGTCCCAGAGTTCTCTCCATTCCGTCTGAGTGCCGACTAATATGAAAGGAATCACAGGGCAGTGCTTTTGAATTTCCGGAATCCATTTGTTCAGAGCGTTCTCCCACGAGATGGAGCGAACGACTGAGAAACAAACCAGAAAAACGTCCGTGTCAGAGTACATATCCGGTCTAATATTATCATAGGCCTCTTCGCAATGAGCATCGCGAAGATCTAATAGGTAATGCTTGCCAAGCACGGTAACCACGCCTGACCAATGGTCGATGGAGTCCTGGAGAGATTCCACGCTTGCTATACTCTCTTTCTCGGAGCTGAGGTGAATCACTTGAAAATGTGGATGACTTTTGTTAGAACCGTCCTCGCCCTCTACATCTTTACCTCCGTCTACGAAGACTTCTTGCTGCTCTTTGCCCTCCGAGGAGATACCCATCCTGCTAACGTCATTGTTAGATCCATCTTCTTCAATCGCGCTGGCTGTTTCCGCCTCGGCATTTAACCAGGCAGTGTACTGTAAGAACAACTCTCTCTTGTCCACATCTTCGTCTCCGACTATCACACATTTGACTGTTCTCATTGTCAAGTTCTACTTCCTTCCACAAGTTCCACCTTCAAAACAAGAAAAAAATCATTAGAAAAATGGTAATTTTTTTTAAAACCCATACCTTAACCCCATTTACTCTTGAATGTCTGTGATGAAGTATTTTGATGTTGAAAGGGGGGGGTGGGATGGGGATATGGATTGATGAAGTGGCAGACTGCAAGGGGCAAGAAAACAGTAATAAGTGTATATTACATCAGTAGGTACCGTTGAAGATGCGCTCTGATTGGGAACTCAAACTCCAAATATCCTTCACAACTTGCCTTCAAGCAACTTGTACAGGATTTGTTCCCTCCCCCAACAATACATTGTAATAATTGCAGGAATGAATGAGTTCAAATCATCTTTATGTACTACATTATCTCTGTGTTTTAACTAAAACAAATAGTCACCTTCATTTTGGTGAACAGGTGATCATTATCTTATTTATGTTATGACTGGGATTTTCCATATGAAGAGTTTGTTGAAAAATAGTAAAATACTGTTGTAAGAGAAAGTTGAAATTTAAAAAAAATTAAATAGTATCCTACACTACATAATGTTAAAACTCACTGCACAAAGAGCTACCCTCAGGTTACAGGATTGAATATTTGTTGCTGGAGAGGGACAAAGTGTTATGGATGAAAAATTAAACAGCACTGCTCTATCAACAGAAAAGTGCCACCCCATGCAGACAGAGGTAACTGAGTGGAAACCAATGACTGATCTTTGCTGCATGTTGCTTTTTTTCTCTTTTGTCACAGTTTGCTTTCAATAAAAAAAAGGGACAATATTAACCACCTTTTTGACCACACCCCTTACAACCAATCCCCCCCATTACCCCTTGTCAATATTTGACAAATGATAGTTTGAATTTGTGGGACTTATGTAGTGAATCAATCTCTGCCAGGTTCACTGGTTAAAGAATTAGCAATACACTCTCCTCTTCTTGTGAGCCAACAGAAAAACATGTTCAACCAAGTAGAAATCGTTACATGAATGGAAGGACCCAGCCAGTCTTTCCCTCTAGCTTAGCATAAAGTTTTGACTTTGGAACAGTTCTGATTCAAACACCAAACTATTTACTTGCTGAGAAATTTAACATTTAACTATCCATTATGTACAATTTTCTTAAGGGGATTACATGTGTCTCAATATGGAACGGTTTTTTTCTTTCTTGGCTATTAGCTCAGGTCTACTAAATCTTATAAAATACATTAGGTTTGAAACATTACTGAGCTATTATTATTATTATTATTATTATTATTATTATTATTATTATTATTATTATTATTATTATTATTATTATGATGATGATGATGATGATGGAGGCCACATAAAACTCTAAAAGTCAGGCCAAGGAGTGCAAATTCTACCCCTGGCTATCCTGTTCTTCAAATTCCAAGATGTGATTGTTAATTCTCCCCTCTAGCTGCTACAAAAATTTCTTTGTGAATTAGTTACAAGAAGTTGGTGTTGGATCAAGCTATCAACTTCCACCTGATAGGTTTGATTATTCTCATTACTAGTTGGCTGGATAATGTATCAATTTTGTAAGGAGAAGTTACATGATAATCACATCTGGGAGTTAAAGGGTAAAGGAAAACACAAATCCTTAACAAATTTTCCCATGACATTAAAAAAAAGCCGTATAATTATTATCAGAGGCTTGTATTATAGTCACCTCTGGGTCATATGCTTCTGTTACTATAAGCTAAATGACTTAGGATGGTACAAGAGTTATGCTCACTGCCTTTTCGAATATTCGTAAAGTTGACGAGCCTAGAAATTTGAGATTGATGCCATTATTTCAGCAACTGCCCACCTACCCCTCTCATAAACCAACAACTGCCCACCTACCCCTCTCATAAACCAACAACAGCTAATTGATAACAAGTAAGGGCTAACTTCAGATTAGGGAGGGAGGTTGGTGCACAGTTGCTAAGAAACTGACACTGAACTAAAGATTTTTATCATTGGTGCAAATTTATGCAATGACATTGCAAGTTATGTTTCTATAATGTTAAACAATTATTTGCCAGAGGTGGAGTGAATATTGTTGATTGATCCCAAAGACAAAGTTTTCTGCAAATCTTCTAGCATCTTTTGTCTTTTTTCTTCTATTATGTTTATCACTTCCTCAGAAACAGTGACAAAATGCAAGTCAGTCATTTTGAAATTTAGCGCTCCTGCTATAATCACTTTTTGCCAAGTGATTACAGCAAGATATGATGTAATCCTTGACCAATCAGAGTGTGTGCATCTCTATAATTAACTGAGCAATTATACTTAACTACTAAATTCCAGGTTGTAACTCAGCCAAAAGGTCCTGTTATATCAGCTTGCTAAAACTGGTTGGTTTGGTTTCCGGAATCTCAGCTCAAATTTTAATGTTTCCCAATTAGATGGTGCACTACAAAGCTAACAGGATCAAATATTCTATAACCAAGATCTCAGCATTGAAAATTTAGAGAAGATTTCACATACAACAATCAAGTGTAAGCTTGATTTCTGTCTCTCAAGGCTAAGAGCACAGGCTTATTTTCCCAGACAGCAGCTGGTGATTAAGTCTACCCCTAACCCTGTTTGCAGAGTAAGGCAGATACACACCCCACGTTTTCCTTCCTTGACATACATTTCACCCTGCAGAGTCATCTTTGCATGCATGAAATCTTGTTTAGTATTGCCATACTCTGCAAACTGGACTTTAGCTAAAAAGAGAAAGCTTGTGCCTCATCGATCTCAGTAATGCAGCATAAATTTTCCATATTAACAATAATAAGGGTGAAATTTCAGCACTGTATGATCAGGAAATAAAATTAACTAAGATTTCCAAATAAACACATACTTTGTTTTGTTCCACCCAAGAACTGCACGCATAATATATAATAAGACAACAGATGGCCTTTAGGACCGAGATTTTATTTTGGAATAGTGTGTGGGGTAATAAAAATATCTTTCCCTAAATTCAGCTGTTCGTCTCTGATTGACCCGATTACTCCTGCAGTCTAAGTTAGAAGGTCGTTAAGTGCCCCTCTCCATTACATCTATAATAGCAATAATCATAATTGACAATTTATCATTAAGTAAGTTTTGACTTCCACATTTATATCATTTGAACATGACCGAGCAAATCAAACTCATTAGATGATGCGTGCTTTTAAAACCAAACGCCTGCAAGCCGTAGACATAACTTGACGGAAACAAAATCATCAGTGAAATTTAAATGATCAAACAGAAAAATTAAGTTCGCCTTACCATCACACATGCATCCACGACGGAATATCACGGGAAAGAGTGAATTAGAAGGGAAGCCATGATGCTTTCTTACTTCGAACCGCCTACCACGATAAATTATGATGTAAGACGAGATTTCAAAGTATTTTGAAAGATCTCTCACAGCATAGAAACCATAGAGGAGCTATTCTGTCAGGATGTGCGTACGGCTAATAAAAAAATTCCATTAACCAAATTAGAGCTTACTAAAATTTCGACAAATAAGGGCAATTTTGCTTCCTGTGACAACGCTCGGACCCAGTAATCTGACACCAGAACTTCCCGCGGCCACACCTGATTTTACTGCAAGGGTAGACTCTGGACTTGGACTTCTTGTGGAATGCCGGATAACCGGATCGAGAGACTTTCACGAAAACACCCTTCTCAAGACATTGTCGTCTATTATTAAAATTAATCAGAATCTCTGTACGGTGGCCAAATTTTTGTCTCATGTGAGATGCAGGCGATCGTGAATGCCGTGAATGCTAATTCCATATTTCATGAACAATCGCGTTCCGGGCTCAATACAGTCTCTGCTTGAAACGAAATTTCCGCTTTCGTTTTATATCCCTTATTGACAAATGCTGCTGATCGCTGAAGAATCGATCCCTTTAAAAGGGTTCGCCTCTTCCTTTGTTTTGTTACGGAAGTATTTAATCTTTTTCCACTCCAAGAGCTTGCAGTCTTATCAAGGGGTCAACTGCTGGTCTCTTTAGAAAGAATCTTCTCAAAATATTATTAATATTATAATATTAACGTCAACGTAATACTGTTGCATTTAAAGCCCCTATCAACTGAGCAATAGACAGCACTTTCTATCAGTTTACTGGTGTAATAACACCTCGAGTGGGTTATTACGCAAGTAAACCAATAGAAAAGCCAGACGATTGCTTTCGAAAGATTTCTCAGTTATTTCATAATTCAAGATGGCGCACACGTGCGCATCGCGCTAGTACCGATCGCACTTACATTGTAATCAAGAAAAAGAGCAGTTTATGGTCCTATTTGGTATCACTCATAAAATATTAAATTGTGGGAGTGACAATACAAGTTCCCTATTGAAATTTCAAAGCTGGGTTGGTTTACACAGATACTTAATCCCTTCTTGAATTTGTTTCCATTGCTGAACTTTTCTATTCTTGAATTAGATACAAATATCTGAGCCACTCAACTTGTTATAGAAATCAAGCAACCTACAGAATCTCTACCACTAAAAGATTCCAAATAAACCGTCATTTTATATGGTTCATCTGCACTTTATTTACCAAACGCATACTGTGAGCGTGACATGTACAATTCTCCTAGCTCCTTACAACAAAACATAAACTTTACAAAGCTCTACATGAAGTTCAGTTTGCAAAATGCTCCACTAAGTAGAAAGAGAGAAAACGGCTAATATCTTCACTAGAGACTAACATTGATGTAAATTTTTTTAGCTGGTTTCTTCTCAGTTTTCTTCTTTCTAATTGTAAGTCATATAGCGTGGTGTGGCACTGAACTTGGCGTAAGCCTTGATGACTTTATTCACGGCCTCAAGGAAATCCTTTTCTGTAGCAACCTGTCAACAACAAATCGTTAATAAAAAGTTGAGAATGGTATCAGAATCACCTATAGTTTCCCTATCTCCATTAATTTTATCTCATTGGCCGAGTTGTTAGAAGTACGATATGCTCCAGTGAACCCTATAAACCCTAAAAGTGACTAAAATCTAATTTCTCCCTACAATGTCACTCGTGCATCAAACATTAAGGTCACGATAATAAAGGAAATGATCACCAACTAAAGAAACTAATGATTGTAAAATTAATTCTCTTTGTCAGCACCTAGGATTGGAACGCGACAAGAACTTCAGAAAGTCAGTAACATCAGTATCTTGTCGGTTAGCGGCTTCCAAATTGTTCCAACATGTGAAGTTCGAAACCTAGGAACCTGGTTTCACTCGAAAATGAGTATGCGAAGTCATATTTACAGAACTTGCTCATCCGCTTTCTAAACATAGAATTAGGAAATATGTAAGTCGTCTAGTCACCGAATCATTAGTTCATGCTTTTTAACCAGTAGAGTAGATTATTATAACAGTCTACTATATAGCCTCCCGAATTCACATATCTTGAAACTCCAACGAATACAGATTGCCGCAGCTCGGTTGGTCACGGGAACACCAATATTCTGTCATGTTACACCATTGCTTTTTCACCTTCATTGGCTCTCGATTAGTTACCGTATAAAGTTTAAGATTCTACTTTTGACATTTAAGTGTTTACATGGTTCAGCTCCTAATTATTTTATTGAATTAATTAGGATCAAATTGCAATGCGGCACTCTAGTAGGTCAAACAAGTCTTTGTTACCCGAGTCACCTAGTACTAAGACTCGTTGGCGATCGTGCATTCCAATCAGCTACACTTTATCTTTGAAATGCCTTACCTTCGACAATTCGCAACATAAAGACATTGGACACTTTCAAGACTGCTGTTAGAACCCAATTTTTTTTAATTTAGCCTTCAAATAGTTTCTTATGTTTTTAGTTACTTTTAACATAACTTTACTTTGACAATATTTTGAAGCGCAACTGAATATATCCATATGGAGGTCTGCGCTATACAAACGTAATTAGTATCATTATTGGGAAATGTGTAGAGAACAGTATGGAGATTAAGCATACTGATGTTAAGGTGTTAATGGTTAGGCACTAACCCGTATTTACACGAGCTGTGTATCGGTTGAATAAAGTCAGAAAGAAGAAGAAGCAAGCCCATAGAGACGGGGACTAAAACAAAAGTTTAGCATTCTTACGTACTTTTCTCCTTGAACGAATTGCGAACATGCCTGCTTCTGTACAAACACTGCGAATTTCAGCACCTGGAAATCAGACAACAATGTTAACAAACGCTAAATATATGACACTAATGTAGCTTGGAATCTACCCACAACTCGTCTTGCAATGAGACCATAACATTAAAATGTGACTGACCTGTGGTATTTGGGCACAATCTTGCCAGTAATTCATAGCGAATGTCACGCTCTACACTCATGGATCGGGCGTGGATTTTAAATATATGAGCTCGTCCCTGGAAAAAAATTCAGAACTTTCACGAAAATGCTCCATTTCTCTTACAGGCATACTTGTCCTAGTCTCATGGGTGTCTGAAAAACGAGCACGACATGAAGAGAGCACAGGGGACTTGTATCCAGGCTCCTATATCATCGACACACCTCATCTTGGCAAAGTAAACATGCAGTGTCCTCCTTTTCAGGAGATAATCAGTTCAATTTACAGCCTACAGTTCCTCTTCTTACTGACCAAAATCCTTTGGAATTCTTGAAAAAATCAACAGGTAAAAGGATTGATCTATGGGTTTGAAAATCTCTTACCCTGCCATGCTTAGAATAAGGAAGAACATATAAAATTAATTTAAGTGAATGTACCTCTAAATCTGGAAGACTAAACTCTATTTTTCTGTCCAGTCTTCCTGGTCTGGTTAAAGCAGGATCAAGTGTGTCAGGTCTGGAAGGGAATAAAATAACTGCATTTAACACAAATGGAAAGCTGTAAACAACTAACTCTATGAGCCAAACTTAGAATGCATTTCAAAATTATGTGATTTCCCATTGTTATTACCGATTTGTTGCCATGAGAACTTTGATGTTTCCTCTGGGATCAAATCCATCCAGTTGGTTTATAAGCTCCAACATTGTTCGTTGAACCTCATTATCACCACCAGCACCATCATCAAAACGAGTTCCTAGCAGAAAGGAATGAAAAATAACCCAAATTATCAAAGAGGAATGAGTAAAGGGAAATCCCCAAAATTGGAAAATTGTTCATGAACTAGCAATACATAATTTACACCAAAAATTCCATCCTTGTAACATAATCTGCAACCCTTAAACCCTCAATATCAGAAAGCCAAGTCTCCTAACTGTGTAAAATTCGTTTCTCTTGTGAAGGTCTCAAAATTTCTTTGGTTTGATTCAGATATTGATAATATTGTTCCAAAAATAATTTAGAAGATATTTTACTAAGTATTTGTCTACATCCCCTCCTACAAGTGAAATCAGTTATAATCTTGTAAGTAAGAATTTACTAATCATGTCTTCACTTTAAAAAAGTTGTGGACTCTCCAACATTTTGACTGAAAAAACTGCTATATCCTCACACTGAATTGCACATTCTTCAGAAAAGATGAAAAAGAAATTACCTCCAATAGCATCAATTTCATCAAAGAAAATAATGCATGCTTTCTTAGTTCTTGCCATTTCAAACAGCTCACGCACCATTCTTGCTCCCTACAAAACACAAAGCCTTACTTTGAGTGAAGATAACAAAAGCACAGAAAAGAAACAAGAAAAAATCCTAAAAAAATTCACAGAGATTATCACAAACCTCTCCCACATATTTCTGTACCAGTTCTGATCCAATCACTCTGATAAAACAAGCGTCAGTCCTGTTGGCCACAGCCCTGGCACACAATGTTTTCCCTGTTCCAGGAGGACCAAACAAGAGAACCCCTTTGGGTGGTTCAATACCTAGATTAACAAACCGTTCAGGCTAAAGAAAGAAAGAAAATCCATCAGTAACTATAGAAAACATAAATGGTAAATGAAGAGTTAACTGCTTTACTTGGGTACAGCAGCCCGTCCAGGCCTTAGTACCACTGAACAGCTCAGAAAGGAGCCAGCCATGTTGTTTTGTTTATACAAACATTCTCTTGACGTCATGGAACATTATTTACGCATATTTCCATGTAATTATGCTTTTTACAGTTGTAACCAGCTATCAGGACATTGCTCCTGAAGGCTTTGCCTGCTAATTTAGTCTATTAGAGTTGGCATAAAGATGTCTGTGTACATATTGTTTGTGGGACTCATTCATCACTAAAGATCATTAAACAAATCAGAACAAGGAGGTTGTTTCTTCAGTAATAGAAACCTGCCCAAGGGCATTTAACTCAAATTCATTCATGGACACCATTTGGCAACCTAAGATCATAAAGTGGTTGCATGAAATAATATATTAGTTCATGGGAAAGGCTGCAGAACACAAACTGTGAAATACTGCATCCTGACACAACCTACAGCTCAATACCAACCACATTATATGAGATTTTGTTGACAAAACATTTTCCTACATGCAATGGTAGACAAGAAGGTTATATTTTTAGAGTGCTACCTGTATTGAGCCAGCTACAATAAGTAAAACCAAGTGTAATGAATACTATTACATGTGGAGAAACAAATAAAATCCCTTACATGCAGAAGTGGAGTTTCTACAACTTCTCTAAGCTTTTCAATCTGTTCTTTGCACCCTCCCACATCTGAGTAAGTCACATCTGGCTTCTCTTCAACCTACAAAGAAGAACAAATAATGAAGTCTTGGAGTTTAGAGTCTTTTCTGGAGTTAACCTGCCAAGTAAATCTTTCTGATTGATAACAGCATGACATTATTACCTGCATCATAGTCACTGTTGGGTCAATCTTTGGTGGCAGAGGTATGTGAATTTGGTACTTGTTCCTGTCAACCCTGAAATGAGAGTAAAAGTGACAATTCAGAAAAAGCTACATGGAGCAAAACTTTATTAAAAGAAGAAACACTTCCTTGTAGAGAAAATTTGGAAGATTTAATCACAAGAGAACATTTGTGAAATATAGTCAAAAATGACAATAATAAAATATTGTCTGATTTCAAAATCTCAAAATATACTGGAAAACAAGAACAGTGTTCCCCTTATTTTGATCACCACAGGTAAAAGAATTTTCAAGAATTTCGAGTCATTTTAGGCCATAATAAGAGGTACTATGGAAGTGAATTTTATCACCAGGTAAGGAATACATTGTATTGAAGGTATTTCAAATGGGAGCAATTTGTGTTGCCATATTGAGCAATGCTTTACTTTAAGCAGGATGTATGTCTGTCTGGAGCTTAACCCTTTAACTCCCAAGATTTCATTAGTAATTCTCCTTATTCTCTGCCATACAGTTCTCTTGATGTTAGTTTGGAGAATGTGGTATTGGATCAACTTTTAATCCCCTAATTGATATTTTTCTTTATTCTCATCAATTGTCTGCTTGATATTGTATTGATATTTTGAGGCGAAATTCTGTTCTGGTTGCTTATGAGAGTTAAAGAGTTAAAGTTAATCTACTTACAATATTGACAGCGATACATATCAATCAATTCTTTTTAATATTCATACCCAACTCTCATTCCTTCTTCAATATCTGTGGGAGCAACTTGATCACCTAGATCAACAACAAACTTGGCAAACTGTTTGACGTTAATCACATATTTGGCATCATCTGTATCTGCATTGATTATCTTTGTACATCTTGCAACCTAAGTCAAGATATCAGTGCATAAGGAACAAAAATATTTAATAAATATCTAATCATAAGAGCTCTTGAGCATAAAATAAAAAGCTCAAAAACATGTTATCATGTTACAAAGTATCAAACTTAAAAAGCATTTACTTTTAACATAATCAGGTAGGATACATGGTACAGAGAAGCAGACCTGAACACAGGAAAAACTGAACATCTGATCAAGACACCCAGAATCTTCTGGTATTTAATTGCTCAGTTCTTAATCATTGCACACATGAGAAGAACTGAAACTGTGATTCCTTTGAAATTTGGATTACAGTTTTCAGATAATATAATGTACCTGCAAGGGTTGTTCTCCTTGGAGAGTTTGTTTATCTGCTGCCAAATCCCACAAAGCAGGAGGAGCAAGGCCAGTATCAGATTCTTTAATACCTGTGCAACATAAGTAACTACATGTAAGGCTAGTATTCCATCAACACACCATACCATTAATGAAAAAAAAAAACTGACTAAAACTACATGGTCCACAAACACTTTGTCTCATCTAAACATGAATCAAAACCATGGAGCAAACAACCATATTATGATAATATTACTAAAACAGCAACTTTCTTGTGAACCTAGTGTCCACCATAAAGAGTTTAAAAGCTGATGCCTAAAGCATTGGCCTTTTGTCAGAGCTTCAACATAACTCTGACGAAGGGCTAACCCTCAAAACGTCAGCTTTTTAACTCTTCAAGGTGACCAATTCACATTATTGACTCAGTTGATAATACTAGATTACCCTGTCATACTCTCCCACTGACACAGCACCACAGTTTCTTTAAAAATTTACCCCATTTTTTTTCTTGAACCTATCTTGTTCACAGTTAATTTGGTTTTTTTAGCTGTGTAGATAATGTGAATTGGCCTTTGTAAAGAATTTTCTGAAGCTGATATTTAGAACATGAGCCCTTTGTTAGAGTGCACAGAGGAATTGCAGGGTTGTGTGGTTTACATACGGAAAAACAGAGGTATGCAATTGGTAGGAACATTATGCCATGGAAAACATAAGAATAAGTTAGTTGAATTAAAACCATCTATTGATACCATGTGGATTTTGAGTGCTGATGCGAAAAGATACTTTTTTTGTAGAAGAGTTTGGCAGCTTTCTGAATTTGCTAAATTTATGGAAAGGCAGCAGACTACCATATGTTGCTCTGATTTATTTGAGAGATTTAAATGTTTTACAACTGGTTTGGATTGGTCTTTGTCATTCCTTTCTATATCACAAAGGTGACATGACATAGAAAACAATGACAAAGTTTTCATAGCACAAGAGTGGTTGTGATACCAAAATGACACAGTATCAAATACACTTATTGTCATTACTGCTTAAATTTTGGATATTATACTTGCAATTATATTACCTGTCAATTCATTAACTTTCTTTAATGTTCCTTGTATACCCTCTTCAACCTTTTTTATTGACCTGCTGTACAATCCAGCACCCTGTAAAATAAAGTAAGTTGAAAGAAATCACCTTAAATGGTGTCCCAATTTGTCAGTGTTTATCCCTCTCATACATGGTAAATGAATTTTAATTGTTGAGATCTAACCAGTTACTAAACTATAGATAAAACATCACCATGTTTCTTTCCTCTTTCCCCCTAAATATCCTCAATATGGCTGTTATTTGAGACATATTTCCCCTTCATAGCCTACCTAGCATAAAATTCCTGGTAGTTTAAGAGTTGGTAGTTGTCAAATCTTCATCACAGACTCAAAAATTTTTTAGCAGAGCTGGGGCTTCGAATTTAACAAGCCTCTTGAAACTTCAGTGGTTCTGATGATTCATTTTATTCCTGTCCCGATCTCTTTTCTCCCCAAGACCAAGGTAATTTTCACTCTAATTATACATCGGACCCACTTTACATTCGTAAGGTCACATGCAAACATCGATCTTAACTCAAACTTCAAGGCCTTGTGGAATTCATCTCGTTTTCCTGTATTTGCTTTAATTAGGTTTTAACAGGATAAATTCCTATAATAGTAATAAGTTGTAAAACTCACATAAGTCTTTAGAATTTCGATATCTCCTTCATCGAGTGCTGAAGAAAAGAATGGCAAAAAAAGTTCACGAATATACTTTGTCTGAAACACACTTTTTACTTGATTTCTTTCATTTAATGTTTCCTTGTACTACGAAATACGTACCTTGAATTGGTTTCTCCTCTTTGTCATCGTCATTCTTGGTTTTTCTTTGATCCTTTCCTAAATAATCCGGCATTTTCGACCAAAAGCCACCTTCTCGTTCTAAAATATGGCGGACAAAATGTCACTGCGCATGACAAAAATTGCTTTGTCATTGCTCCCATGAGTCTTTTCAGCCCCTGTAAGTGCCACTGCACCAGCAGTCTTCGTGCAGACATGCAACTGATAGGGACTAGTTCCTACATTCCATGACAAGAGCCTCACTTTTTCACTTCCGAATAACCTCAAACTAAACGACTCCTCTCTTTATCTTGTGCTTGACACATAACGATCCCTACATACCCCCAACTCGCCCAAACAACGAGCTAACCCTTTCCCCTTACTACCAGAGCTTCATTACAGCAGCCTTGAGACTCGACAATACGGCTCTTCAGGGAAAAACATTGGATTATTCCCATGTTCATCAAAAACCAGATTTATTGATTGGATAATCCTTTTAAGGAAATAGGATTATCCTCAACTCCACTAAACATCATACTATCAATCCCATCTCATTCCATTAGAGCACTTAAAAATTCCCTTCTCCAGTTGGATCCAAGCAGTGTTTACATGATGCAACCACAACAGTATTTAAGTTAAACACTACACCCTTGAGCTCCAATCTTAGTGTGTTTGTTGGGTCTTACAACTCCAACTAGAATAATGTTGAATGGTTCAAATTTCCTCTAAAGTTCATTGGTCATAAATAAGAATTTTAAAAAAGGCTGGAAGTACTGTGGAATGTAGTTCAGTAGTGATCAGAGTTTACACAAGTCCTCACTAATCCATTAACAATTGAGCTTAAGGGTGTCTGGCTCCTAGCTTATCCTTACATTTTCACCCTTGAATAAAAAGTTAGGGTCATAAGCATAAAGGAAATGATCACCAATTTAAGCTCCTGATCGTGAAACAAATACTCCTTGTCACCATAAGTACCATAGGAACTGTTAATAGTACATTGTGGAGAGTATGAATGCTCATGGTAAGGGGTAAAAGGAAAATTGAAGTGATAATTCAGACTCTTCCACTGGACAGTTATCCTTAATGATATATGTCTCTTGACAACAGAAATACATCATCTCTGTACACATAGACTCTGTACAAAGACAATAAATTAACGAGGACACTCAGTTGTGCAAGACAAATTTCTTCTCATTGCAGTAGTTACACTTGCAGACCTCAAGGAGAAAGAAAAGTATGAAATACAAGGAAGTAGCTTTCTTTGTGTATTAAGAATCTTTGTAGCAATTCTAACAAAACAAATTATGCTTGATGCAGACTCTAAATCATTCTCTCTGAGAGAAGGCATAAGCTCACAATCTAATCTTTTTACTGTTAAATTAATCAGGAAAATCACACCATACTGCACTAGTTCCAATGTGTCAGAAGTCAAAATAATATATTTCACAATAACTAGGAACATTGCTCAAATATTTCCAAAAGTGCAGCATTAATTGCATTATTAAAGGATCTCCTTTATAGACAAAAAAGTTATATAGAGTTACTAGTTCTTATCTCATGATGGTACACATTTCCACCAAATGTCATAAAAACCAAAACCAAAGTAATCATGATGGGAAATCATAACCAAGATTGACATCACATTCAGCCGTTGAAAACTCTAAGTAAAAGATTGGTAACAGGTTATTAGTCTTGGCTTGACTGCTTAAGGAGGTTGCTAAATTTTTTCAGACCAGTAGCATTATATTTTGGACGAACTTTTGACACCCAGCTGAAAATTGCCCTACAATAGGGCAACAGCAAGAGAACCAAACTCATTTCAGAAATTAGTCAACAACTAACTATTGATCAGAAAGTAACAATTAATGGACCTTGCAAGAGATTCTGTAAATTCTTCCTACTTGTAGAAGTACATCTAGCGCAAAAAGCCAAATAAACTTTTATGAATGTTTTAAAGGTTTTCACATAGTACCCTGGTTGTCTGATTTAATTCATTTGTTCCAACCCTAAGACCACAAAAAATTATGTCCTTACTTAAGAATGACATGTTATCGCTATTTATCAGCAGCATAAAATATTATAATATCAACAGTTAAGCAGATTTAAATGAAGTTGAACAAAAGATTCCATCAAGGAACCAGTAGCCCTTGTGAAAAATTGAGGTCATGCCATAGTAGCCATTCTTCTCTCACCTTACTCTAAACATTTCTGGCAAACAAAGCATATTCTGTTCGTCTTTAATTGTTGGCTAGGAGAACCCTATACAGCTATTTTGTTCTGTTTAATAGACTCTATCCACACTTCAAGAATTTCAGTTCTGAACAAGTATTGTCTCTTGTGTATGGACAATCAAAATCTTGTCCATCTGAATCAAGATCATTAACAAGTTTTCTGTCCCAATTTCACAATTTTTCTCTCAAAGTAAAATACACTTTTTCTTCTTGGGTTGCTCAGGAGGTTCTAAGGCAGCTAAGATTGCCTCATCAAACACATTTTTCAAGCCTTTTTGCGTTAATGCAGAGCACTCCACATATTTCACTGCTCTAAGCTCTCTTGATAACTTTTCTGCACCCTCCACTGTTATGGGTTTCTGCTTGTTCTTAGATAATTTTTCTATTGTTCCTGCATCATCCCGCAAGTCAACTTGTGTACCAACAAGAAGAAAAGGAGTCTTTGGACAGTGATGAGTAATCTCTGGTACCCACTAAAACAGAAATAAAAACATCAATAAGATAAAGGTTTACCAATGCTATGCAGATCAAATTTAATTCTCTTTACTGTCAACCATACAATTCTTGTAATGTTAATTCTCAGAATTTAGTATTTGATTGACTAATTATCCATAAATTGATATTTTTCTTTATTCTTGTTGCTTATCTGATTAATATTGTATTGATATTATAAGGAGAAATTCTGTCTTGGTCATTCATGGGAGTTAAAGGGTTAAAGGATTCAAAAGGGAGATGCTACTCAGCTATATAGCCACAATAAAACCAGATACCCAATAAATTGACCAATGAGAGTGACAAAACTTTAACCAGTCCAAAGCCTAGAAGTACAAAAGCGAGACGGAGCTATCCACTGAGTAAGTCACTAACCAACAAACATTACAGTTTACTGAGCACAACAGGCAAATTAAATTTTTGAAGTTTTAAAGCAATCCTTTAACATGTTGAATTTTTAAGAACTGCATGCAATTTTAGGTGGTTATAAGAAGTACTGCAAACATAACAAGAAAATTTCACTGATTACTGCCTGAAAAGGAGAAGACTTCCTCCTACACAACAATATCACTGACCTTTTCTTTAACATTTTCAAATGAAGAAGGTGACACTACAGAAAAACACACAAGAAAGACGTCTGTCTGAGGATAGGATAACGGCCTCAGTCTATCATAATCTTCTTGACCTATTCAAGACAAAGAAATGAAGAGTTATCAATGCTGAGCATAAAGTTAAGGGAAATTGGAGGTCATTGCCAATTTGGTTTTTAAATAGTTGTGGGACAGTCTTGTGGGAAAGAAAGTTAGCTTGACAAAATTATCAGAAAAATTGGCAAGTTTATGCAAAGACTCCTAAAATGTTGACTGAATCTTTTGTGACCATCAATTACGTCTGCACTTTGAGAGGAAGCTATACAATCTCCACAAAGACATCAACGTTTTGCCAACCACAAAGAAAAAACTTTACTAAAATAATCACATACAAGTAGACCTACTGGTTCCGACCCACCAGATGCCAAGAGCATGTGGCTAGACACGACAGGTGGCAAAACCCACTCACATAGTAATTACACAGCACATGAGCACAGTTGCCACCTGTCCCTCCTTCATAAACCAAGGTTAACCAGGGTTATTATTGGAAAATCTGATAGATTATGATTTGAACTAAGTAGGGGGGTGCATTGAATTAAACTTGATTTTGAATTAGATGGCATGATGTGTTAAGAGCAACATGCCCTCCTAAGTGGTCAGGGAGAGGGTTCTGCTGAAAAATTTGAAACTCTCCATGATGTGATTTCCAACAGTCTGCCACAGATTTGAGTAACTTTTTTTCAACCAGGCATCAATGTTAGAAACAGTAGAAAAATACTTTTTTGTGTCTTTGAACACAAACCACAAAGAAGCCAGAGCAAAATGGTTTGACAAACAGCAGGTTTATGCTGCCTACAGGCTTCTCACAACAACTCTTCTCGACACAAACACAGTTGCAAAAATAACTATGTTGAAAACAAAGAAGTAACTGAAGATTTCTGTTGGTTTACCAACTTGACTAAACTTAGTTTAAGCATTACATCACTCAAATAAATTGCATTTCTGGTTGTTAAACAAATGAAAGTTTTGCTTCATTTGTAGTTTGACAAGAACACTACTGAGTTACTGACCTGCTGTGTCAAACAATCCTAATGTATATGGCTCACCACCAATCATAACTGTAACAGCATAGTTATCAAACACCTGGAAAAGTACAAAACAAGCAGTCCATAAGTTAGTATTATACCTCACTGAGGCATTGGACAGGAAACTGAAATCTTGTGCTTTGGTCACCAGTGAAGAATTTACCTAAAATAGACCCCAACAAAAACAAACAAACAGTGCAGTATTACTTTGAGGCTTCCCTTTCACTTTTACTAGAAGGAGTTCTCTGTTGTGCAAGTGCTTCAAAATTTTGCAAGGCCTCTCTAATGGAGTGATATAATTTCATGTGCATGTAGATTTCTTTGCACAGCTCCTCATCATGTAAAAAGAAACGTATCCACTGAAGATGAGGGGATATTGAAAATAAAAAGCTTGAAAATTATCAGATGAAAATAAGCAAACAATCCTCAGCAACTTTTACAATGGTTTGTGAACATCCCTAATTCATTACTGTAACTGAAAGCTTGCACTGGAACTAACTTTTCCAGGTGTTCTGTGCTCAAAATATTTCACCCTTTTGTAAATCTAATTTATTGTTACTGTCCAGGAAAATAAAACATAAAGGGAAACAGCTGCCACGTCAAAAAATGTTTCTAATTTTCCCTGACATCATGAAAGGTTTTGGCAAAACAGTAACTCCAACAATTTCACTGCTAACATGAAAATAGCTTGGAAGCATATATGCATCTCTTTATCTTCAACCTGGCTGGAGTAAAATGCTCTTAGTGCTTTTTAAACCACAATTCAGAACTTGTCAAAAGAACAGCCATCACCTGAATGTACACACATGTCCTGCCTAGAGAACAGAGCCAAAATGGCTGGTTCATCCCGTGATCAATTTTCCATCACAACCATTAAAAATAATAGAGGTCATCCCACTCAAACAAATGATGAGTTAAAATGTCCACAGAAAGGTGCAAGATCTCTTATGCAATTATATTGTACCAGTGTTTTACCATTAACATATGGAACACTCTCAAGAAAATTGTAATCAATATGTTTTTCATCCTCCTTAGCTTTTAGCCACTCATTAATAAGTGACCGCCGCATCAAAGTTCTACTCTACATAATAAAAAATGGGCCCTCGGGCAGCACACATCACTAACACACCGACACTTAAAAACTTAAAAATAATTTTTACAGCTTCTCTTATTTGACTAATGGAAAACTTCGTTTGAGTACACAAACACGCACAAAATTCTAATATGCAGTTTTGATCGTTCAATGTTTACTGTACACGGGGGGAAAATGTGCTCAATTGATTCAGAACGTCAACCCATACATACACTCGCCATACATTCGCGCCGAAATAAAATTTAAGTTAAAATGTAGCATCTTGACATTTAAGTTAATATGTACAACAGCTATAAAAGTAGGCACTTTAAAAGCTTCAGCTATCAAAATAATGGTACCGACAAGGGACGCTTGGCAAAGTTAATTGCATGGGTGAAAAGGTAATGTTAATTGTAAACTTACCGTGGGTACATATTCACTTGGAAATTTATTTGTCGTATAGGAAATCAATAAACATGTTTTTCCCACAGCTCCATCGCCAACTACAACACACTTTATGGTTTGCATTGTGCCAGGCTACAAAATTTTGTACGTTTTGAGGTTTTCCGCTGCAGTGGAATTCCTGAAAGTAAATCAGATACGATAAGAACTTTACACGTTAAACGTCAACATTTTAACTTGCTTGCCTCGACAAATTTTGTACTAAAATAGAAACTACAACGATGCGAAGTGAGCGTATTATGGTGGAGAATTTCAGCCTACATTTAAGGAATTGTTACACTACTACCGCAAAGACGTGTGCTATGTCTTGTAATGAATTGATATGAGCAAACTAAAGGCGAGAAGAATATCAAAGACCTTTGAGGCTCGCGGATGAATTTTTAAGACATAACACGGCAAGTCGAAGATGATTTGAAATTATTATGCTGACATATAACAAAACCATCACTGAACGTTGATCACATCAAGTTTGAACACAATGAATGAAACTTTCACAACTTCGGAGCCTGTAGTTGAGGTTTGTAACACTACGATGGAATGAAAACCGTACAATCTTCTTGAAAACTTAAAACGACTTGTTACTCTTCAGCATCGCTACTGATCCTTGATTCTTTCCTCGAAAACTTTATACAGTCGATCAATGTCTCAAAACCACACGAAAGAATCAGATCATTAGGAAAAGTAGGTGCCGTCTATGTCGCCTAAAAATGGCAGACTTCGACGAGTAAACCCAAAGTGGATGAAATTACACGACCAGAATTACAAGTTACAAAGACGGTGGAAGCACACAAGAAGGATAACACTAACCGGTAATTGAGTTTGAACGGTTTAGATCTCCCTTGAAACTTGGCAAGAGAAGCGTTTCACAATTGTTGTAACTACCGCTTATTCCATGAATTCCACTTTTGCAACGAGATGTCCGGCTTTCCAGGGGCGTTGGTTGACGAATTGATAGGGTGCCCTCGAGTAGCACTGACACGCAGAAACGAGGCTACCACTGCAAATCTCTATTGTATGATAGGATTGGTCTGCTGTTATCTGGCCAGGCTACAAGTCTCATTATCGTCCAATCAAACCAATCGTTATAAATTTATGTCGCAACTTCTAAATTTACCCGAAATTATAAAATAGCTGCAGATTATTTCCTCTTCCGTTGTAATTGTTTTGCTGTACAGGGACGTGAGTAGGCCGCGAGTCCACCATTATGATAAATTTGAATTGATCGTAGTATGATCATACCAACGTAATGACACAATACAATGCGTCATTTCTGTGCAGACTTTGTACTTCACGATACTTTGCCACAAATTTTTAGTACAGAAAACTATTAGCTGGCTCTTGACCGAATTCGACTAAGACTTCCTACCAATTGTTTGAACCATTTTTATTTTCCTACAATTGTGTCAGATTCATTCTGTGACCTCTGTGCATCAAAAATAAATTTGTAATGATAAGACAAAAAAATATATTAACATAATTTTCTGGTATAATACCCCTACGTGACAATACTTCTTCAAACACAAATGTAAAGGGTAAAAGATCAGCTTCCAATATCAAGAACTCTAACAGGATGTTGAACTCTTAAGAAAACAAAACTCTGACTCGAGTTTTTCTTTTTCATTCTCTACATCTGGTATTTCCTCAATCATATGGTAAAAAGGGGGAATTTTGCAAGTATATTATCATGCAATTAATTTTTGTGGTCCCATATATGTTCAAAAAATATGAAAGTTCAGAGCAATGGCAGTGTCTGAGCAACTAAGCACCCACCCCTCCCCTAACCCAACAATTGTCAAGTTAGGGCTAATGTTGGGTTAGGAGAGCAGTAGGTGTGCAGTTGTTCAGATATTAAGATCAATCTGAAATTTCTTGTAGCACAATGTTAGTTCACCTTGTAAACAGATAATTACCTTAAGAGCAAAGTAGAGTAGAGGAAAAACTATTTAAAAAGTTTTTAATAACCTACTATCTGATATTTCACATTTTTTTATTTTTTAAAACTTTCTCATCCAATATCATTGCTGCTCTCTTAAAGTACATAAAACTACATAATTACGATATCGTACAAAATGCAATACCTAATTAAAACATTTGTATATTTTGTGGTTAATCAATTGAATGACTTATATTTTGATACTTAATTTTAGATAACAATTTTCCTCTAAGTTACGTACTTTTATGTAACTTCTTCTTTTTCAATGTTTTAGAAATAAAAAAAAAATGTATTTCACTGGCACTTTTCTTTTCTATCTCACACAGAGATACAAGGTGGGGAAGGCCACTCCAATTCTATTTGGAGAGGTGACAGTAGTTTAAAAGGTTCTAGTTGAAAAAAAATTCACCCCTCTCCCTCGCTTCATACAAGTTAAATTCTACATATCCCCCCTAAAACAAGACATATTCATCACAATACTTCTGTCTGGGCTTAGGACAAAAGTACCCTTAAAAATCTTTTGCACTCTAATTATTTAAACTGCCAAAGCAATCGAGCAAATTATAAACGTTCACCTTTTACCTCTGCTGTAAGGTGTTTTAACCCTTTAACTCCCATGAGTGACCAAAACAGAATTTCTCCTTATTACACCAATGCAATATCAATCAAATAGGTGATGAGAATAAAGAAACGTATCAATTAGGGGATAATTAGTTGTACCAATACTAAGTTCTCTGAACTAACATTATAACAATTGTACAGTTGACAGTAAGGAGAATTACAAATTTGATGTGGGTGTTAAAAGGTTAAATTATACATGTATAAATAGAAGATGCAGAACTGAAGCATGCATGTCCATATCAAATCTTCATGTTGACCTGGACATGTGCAGAAACAATAAAAGCAAATGTTGATATATATTTTAAATGTTCCACGACATATAATATTAAATTGTATTTTACAAAATATGCTTAGTTTGCCTAAATGTTATAACTACTTGTAATATTTAATAAACTTCCTTATGATAAATTGTTAGAAATATTAATCACACTGGACATTATCACAAACAATTCCATTATCAGTCAACAACTTTCAAGTTGACCCTTTCTGATTCTTTTTCACACTTCTTAGACCACAAAAGAGCCCAAATTTGTACCTACCAATTTTCAGAAAATTGACATATTAAGTTCACCTCAAAAATACTGCCAGACTAACTCGGTTTGTAGTTACAAGAAAATTAGGAATGCTAAAAGAAAGAATCAAATTAAAAAAAAAAAAAAGAAAGAAATTCAATTTGGCAAACTTAGAAAAACCTGAGCACCTTGGATATTTTGTTGGGAGATTTAATGTTTATAGAGCAACAAGCAATCACATAGAAGGTAAGGCAATTTTCAACTATGTGTTGAAAAAAAAGTTATACCAGAGACCTATCAGAATGAAAGTTATAGCCGATAAGGACTCAAAGTGAAACAACCAAACTGCTTTACGCATGAGAGAACATGAATGACCACATTGCAATTGTTTTGCATCTGATTGGTTAAGAGAATGAACCAATCACAGAGCAAAGTTGAGTTTACCAAAGCAATCCCACTGACTTTCCACACTCAATCGAAAATTGTTCTAAACAAACAAGGAACTTCTGCTGCCAACACTTTCCTTACCTGAGCTCTAATTCCTTTCTTCCCCTTGGTAATCTACTACCTTACAAATATCTTGCTGGTCAAGCTTTCAAGGTTTTCTGAGTTTGACAATACAACTAGCACAGTAAATTTAAAATTCAAAATGCACTAAGATGACTTTCAAATAGAATTTCTATGTGCCACTTAAGGTACACACAATTCAGGAAAATGTCTCTCAACCCTTAAACTCCCAAGATCTCACAAAAATTCTCTTTCCTGTCTGTCATACAATTGATATGATGTTAGTTTGGGGAACTTGGTATTAAATAAACTGAAATCCTCCTAATTGATATTTTTCTCCATTCTCATTGCTTTTCTGCTTTATATTTTAGGAGTACATTCTGTCTTGGTCACTCAACAGAGTTAACCCTTTAACCCCTGTGGGTGACTTGCATCTAATTTCTCCTTGCAATATCACCCCTAAATCACACAAATAGGTCATGAGAATTAAGGAAATGATCACCACCTAAAGAAGCTCTTGATTGTTAGACAAGTTCTCCTTGTCAGCACTATGGAAATATATAAAGAATAAAATAGAGAAAATGCATATTGATGTGAGGGCGTACAAAAGTTTAAGGGTTGAGATCATTTCCTGAGACTGTCTCTATTCAATCCACCTCTTAAAGTAAAGTGCAAAGTTTCTTCTTTGGTGGCTCTGGAGGCTCTAATGCAGCCAGAATTGCTTCATCAAAGACATTCTTCAGGCCTTTCTGAGTCAGGGCTGAACATTCAACATATTTAACAGCTTTTAGCTCTCGTGTTAACTTTTCCGCACCCTCAACTGCTATGGGTTTCTGCTTGTTCTTGGTCAGTTTTTCTATTGTTCCTGCGTCATCCCGCAAGTCCACTTGTGTACCAACAAGAAGAAAAGGAGTCTTAGGACAATGATGGGTGATTTCAGGAACCCACTAAAGAAAGAGTAAAATAACTTTGAGTTTGCTGACATATCTTAAGTTAAGAGTAGCAGTAAATTTTTTTTAGAACCTTCAACTGAATTGACAAAAATTGACTGAGTTGACAACTTTCATCTTTCAACTTTTCTGATCAAAAACAAACATCAGAATGCAGCAATCAGTTCAAAGCTTCAACATCCCCATCTGGGCAACACAGGGGCATTTGATCATTGTCTAAATACAAGTGTTACATCCTTAAACATAGAGGTTTTTAACCCTTTCACTCCCAAGATCTCATTTGTAACTCTCCTTACTGTCCGCCATACAGTTCTTGTGATGTTAGTTTGGAGAATTTAGTATTTAATCAACTTATAATCCCCTTATTGGTATTTTTTTTTTATTCTCATTACTTGTCTGCTTGATATTGTATTGATATTGTAAGGAGAAATTAAAACAAATGGCTCAAAAGAAAAGATCTACAAAGGTGTCAAATCCTTTCTAGCCTAATACAAAAAAATCAAAAGTTTTACATCCATATTCAAAAGTTAAACATAGAGGTGTTTTCAAATTTAAATGGCAAGATAGATCCTCTATTGCTTGGGTTTTTTAAAAAAAAATATTGCTACCTCTAAAAAATATTTTGCTAAAAATAATTTGACAAATGAAGATAGGCATTGTCAACCACATTTACATACTCTCATCTAAATACACCCACAAACCAATGAGGATGTGCTAATTATCTGAAATATTTTATAAATTACCCTTGCCTAGTGACCATTTCTTCCTAAAGAGATTATACCTTTTCTTTGACATTTTCAAAAGAAGATGGTGACACTACAGAAAAGCAAACAAGGAATACATCTGTCTGTGGGTAGGACAGAGGTCTCAGTCGGTCATAATCCTCTTGGCCTAAGGCAGTAAAAAAGAGGAAGCATGTAAGATATGATTAATAAGAGTGAAAATGTCTACATAATTTTCACTTGGATTTCAGGCTGATAAGACTGATGAATAAAGAAACGGTGGTTCTGCCTTGGTGAGGATTTTTAGAAGGTATGCCATAACTTGGTTTGAAAAATTGAGTTGGTAATGTAAACTGGCCAACATGAAGAGTTTCTAAAGTTGATGTTTCAAGAGTTTGCCCTTTGTCAGTGTGAACAACAGAAGGCTTAACCAGTTACACCCTAACATCAGCGTGCTTATTCTCTATAATGTTCCCTATAAATTTCCTATGATACCATCAAGGAGAATTTGCTGAAAAATCAACAGCTTTTTAGGTTGGTGATCATTTCCTCTATTCTCATAACAGTTGATATTTGATGCTAGGGTGATACCATAGGGAGAAATTAGATGCTGGTCACTCTTGGGGTTAAAGGGTTAAAAGAGACCTTACCTGCTGTATCAAACAACCCTAATGTGAATGGCTCTCCACCAATCATAACAGTGACTGCATAATTATCAAACACCTGGAACACAACAAAGACTGATAAGTTGTTCATCAATGGGTTGTCCAAAATAACATCAAAATAACTTTATGATGTAATGCTTAGAGTCCAATTAGAGCTTCTTGATCAAAATAATTAGGAGAGGGAGGGGAAAGGCAGTTTAAAGGATGAGAACCTTTCACCTCCCATTCTGAGAGTTTGATGTAAAAATTGAAAAACCTCTTACTAACCAGGTTCCAGGTCTCAGTACTGTAAGTCACAGACCATGTTTTTCCACTGGTATTTCTGGCCCAAGTGCAGGCCATAAATCCAAGAGGAAAAAACAAAGTTCAGTAATTTACAATGCCACCCAACATTAGGGGGTTAGAAAGATTTTCATTAAATCTCTGGGTTCAAATAGAGGGGGAACATTTCAAATGTTTGAATTTAGTGAGTGGTACAGTGAAATAGGACCTGCTAAATTGACCAAAAATAATGCACAGGCTAACCAAGAGATATCGCATTATCCAGTAGTTTATATTTTTCTCTATTTTCAGCAACTGTCTGCACAGTAGAGTATTGGTATTGGCACAGTGCTGTAACCCACATTTTAATCGTATATCACCTTTTTTAAGCAAGTGAACAGCAAAGTTTAAGCAACGTCACAAAGAAACCTACTCCAAAATTTCTAATCCAACCTGCTGAACTCCATAATGAGAGAAGAAAACTTACCGTGGGTACATATTCACTTGGAAATTTATTTGTTGTGTAGGAAATCAATAAACAGGTTTTTCCTACAGCTCCATCACCGACTACGACACACTTTATGGTCTGCATACTGCTGTCACAACAACAATATTCAGACTTGTGGGGTTTTTAATGCAGAAGTATACCCTAAATGTAAACAGAAAACATATTTATCAAAAACCCATTAAAGCTATTGAAGAGATGCTTGCATGGACCTTGCCCTGTTTCTTTCCAGAACAAGATACATCAGATGAATGATTAAATAACCAAGAGGTAAGTAAGTAAGTGGCCTTTACTTGGGTTTCCCTCTATGACAAGGGTATTACTAAACGGGGTAACAAAGAAACAATTAACAGAGTAACAAGAAAATGAGTAATGACACTTTATTCTTTTAACCCTTTAACTCCCAAAAGTGATTAACATGGAACTTCTCCCTAAAGCATTTGTATTCTGCATGGTTCTACAAACAAAGATATTTGAATTTTGGTGAAAACCCAACACTGTTATGAATTGTTTTGATTGTTAACAATCTGATAAAAAACACAAGCCATGCGAGCAGTTCAAGGTCACTGGCTGATTGAATTCAATCAATTATCATCTAGATTTATCACTAAATGAAAACTTTAAGCACAAAAAAGTAAAAAAAATAAAAAGAAACGTACAGTCACAAATAATGCATTCCTAGGTACATTGTGTAGAGGCAGAAGACTAATTATATGTTTGCTTTCAATTGCAAAAAGACTATTGATTCTTTTGAAAATTGCAAAATTATTGATGTAACTTTGATAAGAATTTGTATACCAGCCAGGGCTTGAAATTTAACAGCCAATCAACAGACAATGCCCAATCATATAGAAGTCTTGTCTGGTCACCTCCTCGGATGACTGGACAATTATGCAAGTGGAGAAGACATTAATTTTGAGCAACATTCAGGTTATCCATTGTAAATATGACTGTATCAATTTTCTTGCATTGAGTTCCAGGCTGCACATACAAATCAAATATAAAAGGGTTGGGGATTTTATTGAGATATCACATAATGGATGTTTGCTAACCAAAACGGATTAATTTTGTGTCAGAGCAAAAATAGGTTTGACTTAACAACATGAATGGTACCAGCCAAGAAATTATTTCAGCCTTAAGCAGCCATTTAGCAGTTTTGAGTGGAATTGAAAGCATAATTTACCAGTAACAGGCCAAAAAGGGTGGCTCAATTTCACCCTCTGAATTCAAAGGCTGGTACAAACTTCATGGTACACGTAGAACACTTAAACAGAATATTTCCCTGTATTTTGCGCCTATCTGATGTAACAAAATGGTATCCAAGATAATCTGGTCACCTGCTTTTATTTTTTGGCTCTTTCACACGAACTGGCACTCTTGAGCAAGTAACATGGGGGGTAGTGTAAAGCACCCCACATGATGACAGTTCTCAGTCTTTGGATCTTCATTTAAAAATCATAACTTGATTCTTTATCACTGAAATGTCACGCATTAATTCAACATTCACTTTTAAAGGTCTAGGCAAAACAATTTGCTTATTAAAGTCAACATCTCCTTGTTGACAAAATTATTTTTTTCATACATTATCAAGTGTTCAAAAACTTACTGATTTTAGCAAGAGAAATGAGAGTCAGATCTAAAATTTCACAATTTATCATGGATCGTCAAAAAAGGGACTATAGTTTATTGTCTGTGATATACAAGTAGAACTTTTTAAAATAATTCATTATTCATTGAAGACCTAGGGTAGAAAGTCTACTGGAAGGTAGATCTATTGTTGAGTTCATTGCAAATACAGAAGATAGTTCTAAAAATTTTCTACATAATTTTTAAGAAATCTTGATCATTGTTCACATGATCCATTAGAATTTATTACAGTCTAAGAGCCTGCAAAATGTGTGGTTTCTTTGTGATGAGGTGTTGAAAGAGTGGGTGAATAATTTCCATAAGTGCGCCAATTCTAGGTTAATTCTTTAGTATAATATACATTCAGGCAGCTGGTTCTAAAGACGAGCTTGCAAATACATGCATGCATGATTTAACACCAAGGAGGATATTATGAGCCGATGAGGAAATATGAAAGAAGTAGAGCGACCGTGAAGATAAAAGCCACAGGAAGATTATAGGGGCTAAGATGTTAAGACTTACAGAGGAATTATCATGATCAGGTATTCTGGAATGAAAGATCATGCTGTCTGTGACTTACAGAGTTACACGACTAAGCCTGTAATCAGACTTCAACATCAACACAAGCTAAATTATTTGAAGAATTAGTCATTACATCGCGAATGAAACCTCTGTCTTACAAATCCATGCAAAAAAAGAAGAATCCCCCAAAGCACAGCCAAATATTACCAGCTGTGCAGAAAAACAAACTGCATGCACTGCAGATGAAATAAATTTCGCTGATGATCCATTAAACTAAAGCATCTTTCAAAAGTCAAATTCCAAATTCATGTCTAAAAAGGTGAAGAAGGTCGTACGTACGAGAAAAGGTATACCTACCACAAAACAAAAACGTCTTGCTATGCACCAGAAAGCCTCACGAACCAGCTTTGGCCTGAAAACTTGTGTAAAATTCACAAATTATGTTGTAATATTTTGATCACTTCCCAGGGGCGTTGGTAAAGATAGCACACAAACGAGGCTTGAATGGTTAAGTTATGACACCTTTAGTGATTGGTTTTTTTTTGCCAGCCAGGCCACTAAGCTAAACTTTACCCAATCAGGTGGTCTCTTAGAAATTCGAGTAAAATTTTCACATTTACCCGGGAATATAGAATTTGGAATGAAATTTACCAAGTTTTCAAATATTGACAGGTTTTGACGCCATTGAGCCACTGAATCGGATCGTAAAATTTTCAAGGTACGTTTGATATCAATACAATCCATTACCACTTAAATTGGCGTCCTTTAAATAAGTTAAAAGATACACACCAATGCAAAACGATTCCTTGTGCCTCAGGCATATTGGCAGAACACGTCCTGGCAGAATCCTTACATTTACCATTATTGGTTTTTAAATTACCCCTTTTAATTTGGGCTTCTAGCGATGGTAAATTGGCTTTGAAGATCCAATTTCAGAAACAAGCGCACTATTAGTGATGTTATATTCGTCTGTTTTAATAATTAAATAATGATTTAGTATTTGTTTGCTGTCTTCAGAAAGTGAATGAATATCGCAAAACCGAAACCATAAATATTTGTCTAACAGGAATGAATTGACCTAAGTTTCGTCAGTAGTCATTAATTTCTAGAGCAATATTTCTGTCAAACATAAAAAAAATATTTTTCTCTGTGTTTTGTTTTTAAAGCCAACGGCAGGGTTGAAAATTTGACTCTAACAATGGTGAAGCCTCCTTCTTTTTCAGGAACATAAAATGTAAAATGCTATGTTATCATCCTCAGATTAATTATCTTCTTGACAGAAGGGGATCAAAAACTTAAAATTTAACTTAGATGTTAGAATTGTTTTTCCAACTGTGTAACAAAGAATGAAAAAGTAGAAGAAAACATGCGAGGAACTCAGACACATGAATTAATAATTAAATAGGTTAGTTTAGGCCCAGTTCAGATGTTGTGCCTCTGCCAAGCAAAACTTAATTTTAATAAGGTTCAACTATAGTAAGGGGAAAGCACGACTCTGATTCAGACGTCAGGTTAATGTAGTTCAAAATTCAGCATTTACTAAGGGAGAATTATTTTTGTGACTCTCCCATGGTAACACAATCTTGCCAAAATGCATTAGTATAATTTAAGAATTTTGTTTGGCACAGCAAGGGAACAACGTCTGAATCACTGAGCCGTGTAGCACAGCAGAGTTTGTCAAACTTAATTACTTTCCAGGACTTAATTAAAAAGTTTGATTCAGATGTTGTGCCTCTACTGTGCTTTTGTCACTTGGCAGAAGCACAACATCTGAACTGGGCCTTGGATATTTGATCAATACACTACTTCCCTGTCACTATGAGATATTTTAATCTGATAATGAAATGACAGACAATTGATGACCTATAAGTCAAGGTGAAAATATACACATTACAATGGGGATAGATATTAAGTAAGTGATACATGTGCATGTGTCTCTCCAACCTGTATTTGGACTTTGTAACAACTTACAGCAATTGCACTATTTAATAACACTGCAAATGTTACTATTGAAAACAAAACTCTTCAGAGAAAGCATCTGTTGAGTTTCACTTTTGCCAGCAATTAAAAATATCTATAAATAATATTTATAGAAAATACAAATGCATGAAAAAAAAACCTGTTTGGATTGTGTATGAGTTGGTTAAGAAGAAAGTGAGTTTCATCAACTTCTTGATGATGTACTTTTTGTTCAAGACAGATTTTCTCCTTACAATATCAATACAATATCAAGCAGACAAGTGATGAGAATAAAGAAAATATCAGTAAGGGGATTATAACTTAATCCAATACCAAATTCTCCTAACTAACATTACAAGAACTGTGTGACAAACAGTAAGAAGAATTACAAATGAGATCTTGGGAGTTAAAGGGTTAACACAGATGTTTACATAATAAGTATATTTGCACACATTTTCATTAAAAAATAATGAAAGGCAAATGTTATCCCATGAAAATTGTAAAATTAACTACTATTGTGACAATCATGTCTGTTGAAGTAGTATCTTTTTTACAACTACCTAGAAAAATATCATCATGCTTATTGTTATAGTGTAGTAAATAGTAAGATCTTAATTAAATAAAAAAAAGGGAAAAACTTACAAAACAGTCTCATCAATATCATCAAATAATATCAACCAAAAAATAAATATTGAGCTACTAAAATGTGTATTTCCTTTGTCTGATAGACAGCATTATTATCTATAATTTTTTTCAGTATTTATCTTTGCAAAGTAAAAAATTGTGGAGTTTAGGCTTTTATGTTTAGCCATATCTATTTCTTCCATCCACATTGACCATAAAAATTTTCATTACTTAAACTAATAACTTGAAGTGAGAATATCTTTTGTTAGTTAACGTAGAGAGCAGGTTGGCTCATGATTTGAGAGAGTCTAGTTTGTTATTATCATCACACAGGAAGTGTATCTGCTGAATGTTCTTCCATGAATTTTCTGAAGTTCTCATTCTCTAGTTCAGTCATCACCTTATTTAAGGCATAAATCTGTGGAAATGAGGAAGACAACATATTTTATTTAAATTTATCTATTCTATAGTTCATATCAAGATTGAAGCAGCCATCCATTGTTCTGAAACTTCTTCAAATGTTGAATGAAGCCCACACCAAATTATGGCATTCTAAAATTAAGGTTCTTAAAACAGCAACAAAGGTTATGGATACTTTCTGGGCCATGAAAGGTCAGCAGTTATAATGTATGGTGTCGTTGTTTTATGTTACATAGCATAGGTTTACTTCTTAATCAATATTCAGCAACAGTACCTCAGCTCTCTGCCTTTGTTTAAGTTGTAAAATTGCACCATAAGCTCTTTTCTGCTCTTCTTTTGCAGCCTTCTCTTTCTTTTTTTGTTCTTCAGCTCTCAGTTTATTTCCTAAAACAAAAAATACACTTTTAGAAAAAGACAGTTTTGACAAATGAGCATGTGTCAGATATAAAGGGCACATCTAGCAGTTTTTTGCTGATGGGCACACTGTACACAGAGTATAATATGTAAGGCACTAAACACGAGCTCTCTACAAAAAGAATCGTTCAACAGTGGCTGCAAGCCAGACTCAAGCCAAACTTTAAATGAATACACCGTCCAATAAAAATCAGTTTTGATTTATTTACAAGTAGATAAACCCCATTAGGCAGCTGGTATGTTGGCTGGTAATGTCCATGGCTGAGATATTGTCAGAGAAATGAATAGTTTGCCCAGAAGCAAAGTTACGAGTGCAAATGTGAAATTTTGAAGACAATTTCTCAACCAGGAACACCATCAGCCAAAATACCACCAGGCAAAAAGGAATTTTATTTATTTTATAACTTCCCATGAATTTTCATATTGCACATTGACAGCAAATCTCTAAATGACATTTTTTTTTGTACTTTCCAGAGCAAAGGACAACATGAAAAATTGAAACTCTTGAGCTGACTTTTTCCACTGGTTTGGCTTCTTTCCAAGGCAAATAATCAGAGGACAATTATTGATGTAGACAGGGGTTATTGCATGATAACTGTCTCTGATTTTCTAAAAAGTTTCCAATAGAAAGAAAGGAAATTTAATAATGAATGGGTTAAAATAACAGTTACCATGTTTCCCATCTTTTGAAACTCATTCATGATTGATCTGTCATTCAAGTGGTTGTTCACTTACCTATTGTTATCAGTCTTGTTTTAACTACTCTTTGACTCTGGAATAACAAAAAAAAAAGATACAAGGGTTCATTCATCAAAAAACTACAACATATAACATGGGTTCTGGTATTGGACAACTTTGACCTAATATTCAATATAATTTGTAATGAAGTGAAATTGTTTGTCTCACAATTTAGTCACTTTGTGATGGATTGCAACACTTCATACTGCAGTCTTTTACAGGCACCTAGCCACATTTACATTGGAAGTGACAACCTTGTAAGACCAACAATTGTACATCTTTGAAAGTACATTTGCCATGATTACTATTTTCAACCTTTTTTAGCAATATAAATTAATATAGCTGATATGCATTTAAAAAATGCTGTTAGTTAATACAGAAATTTACCTTTACATCTGACAGTGAAGGAATATATTCCACTTTCTTTAGTTCATCTAAAACACAACAAGACAACAGATGCTAATAGATTATAAAAGATTCAACCACCATTTTTAAATTAATTAAGTGCCCAACCTCAATCAAATGTCCATCCTGTGGGATAAGTGTCAAGGGTCAAATAAGCCCACACCTTCAGGATCCAAGAATTAATAAGGGCATGGGGTGCTTAACCGAGTAAATACAGACATTGGTACTTACACTTTTGTTTTAAAAATCAGCACCCAGCTAAATTTACTTGATTATTTGGTAACCAATTGAATGGTTAAATAACTGATTGAGTGACCGGTTGAATGTCAGATCAATTAGTTGCAAAAATTAAGATTTGTTTTTAGTTTTATCCTCATGCTATTGTACTATCATTCATTTGCTTTAGTTTGGATTAAATTATAGAATTGGAGTCATGTGAATATAATTCGCATGCAGTCAGAACAAGTAGTAATACACTCATAATCAGCTGTGCCATAGATGCCACTTTTCCGTTCTTGCCACATTTGATATTAACTGTTACTGAGGAGAAGCACTGAAAATTGGAATGCATATGTTAAAAGATAAGGAGTAGCCAATCAGATTAGAGAACTTTTGATAGTACACTGTTTAGTAGAATTATTATACTAAATATTATTTAATACTCGCCAGCTGAAGGTGTGCATGGTGGAGCACATGGTACTCCTGTTATCATTCCTGAGTGTGCTTCAGATAAGTAGATCTTCTTCACTCTATTATCTTCAGAGTTCCATAATTTCCGTGGTGATGACAAAGGAGAAAATAAAGAGGTATTTTCCAATTCTTGTTGTTGTTTTTTTTGGAGAAAGCGTGCTTGAACTTGATGTATTAGGTAAATTGGTGTTGGGTACTTTAGGCAAAAGGATTCTGTCACCAGTGTTCTTTTCACTAGAATTACTCTTGTTGCCTTTCTTTGGTGCATAAGTTGCATGAAGTTTTTGTATGCTTAAGTATTTTGTGGAATTGTCTTTTGATTGGTGAGAATTTGTCCTCGTTGTTTCATCTCTGGAATTTAATTGAAGACCTGTAATTTAGAACATGACTGAAGTCAGTCCTAAGTCTCAAATAAAACAGTGATTTAATTAGTTGGAAACTAAATGTAGAAAGAAGTTTTAACCAAAACAAAATCAGGATAATCAGTGTGTGAAATTGCACCTAATACAGGCACCAATGCGACTAAATTTTTCACTTTGGTGACCAAATCCTGAAAACTAGTCGCCAAATTGGCGACTAGAATGTTCCATCATAACCTTAGCTAGAGATATAGTGAATTAAAAAGATTTGCAAAGACAAATTCGCAGCAAACTTCCTCGTTAAGTTTGTTTCCAAAATGCAGCACATGCATCTCGATTGATAACTAGACGCCATCTTGGATTTAGGTGAGCTTGAATGCTGTATATCATCCATCCTAGTGTCCACTTTGTAGCACGTTAAAGATCTTTTCCCGAACTTAATTTCTAGAATGATGACAGCATAAAAAAAGGTTTTGTTTGTCTTTCAAAATGGCGACTTTAAGGAATTTAGGAGCCAAGTGGCTATCAGAAAAAGAAAATTAATTTCACCCCCTGGTAATTCATTGCAACAGAGGCAAAATTGCTCAACTGCAGATTCAGTCTAGAAACTAATATCCCTGCAGCTGACAACATCTTGTAACTCAGATTTTCATAGCCAAACTTGCAATTTCCTCAGTAACTACTTACTATGACAGCTATTCAACCCTCACAACCGTTTCTGCTTATTTCTTGAATATTACTTGATCTACAACAAAGTTTTCCAGGGTAAAGCTATGAAGACTAGTTTAAGCACTAAATGACATATTGAATAATACCTGGGTGCTTCTTTTGTTTATTTGGGTTGGCAAGTCTAGTAAATAATCCAAACCCTCCTGAACCTTTTTTTAATGAGTTCTTTCTTTTCCTGGGTGATTTTGATTTGCTCCACTTTTTTCTACTTCTTTTGTTTGTCTTTTCACATACGCTCTCCTCAATCTGTTTGATTTCCATCTCAACAGCATTATCATCTTGTTTAATATTCTCCACTACAGCAAAGTCACAAGTATCATTGTTTTTCTCATCTACCACAGGATCACTGTTATTTAGTTTCCTTTCTATCAGTTGAAAGTTTTCATTGTCTTTGATTTGCTTTTCATGATTGTCTTCATTTTCTTTGATTTTTACAGCTGATGTTCTTAATGGCAGTAGTTCTTTTTCATCCTGATTGATTTTACTATCACCTGAAATCAATAATATCCATCAATTCTTGATACCATGTAACTTCTTCTGTCAGTATCAAAACATCATCCAGCAAATAGGTGATGAGAATCCTAAAACGTATCAGGTAGAAGTTATGTTGATCTAACCAATTTACAAGACAATGTGAAGCAGGCAGAGGGGAGGATTAACAATGGGATCATGGGAGTTGCAGGTTAACAGAGCTGCTTAAACTTCAAGTATCAATATATTTGCGATAATCAGCTCAGAAATGAAGTAGGATAGTCAACACCCTGATAAACGTGAAAAGACTAAATTCTCATAACTGGCATTTGAAGAAACGAATGGCGGTTAGTTGGGAGATCTGTTAATTCAATCATTACCGGTAGTAAGATCAAATGCAATAAGCTGTACTTTGGCAGCAAAATAAACTTGTTTTCCTTACCAAATGGTTCGTCCTGTAAGTTTATACGGCCTTCTGTAGCAGATGAAATTAAACTACCTCGCCTGGAAGAAATCGCGTGACAGTTGCAAATATTATCAGGCGAAGTGCAACAACTTTGTTTATGCGCGCGGAATACTGACTTGATTTGCATATTTTGCGGTGCACCATTTTCTACTTCAACAACCTCAACTCTCTCCGGCAAGAATTCCTTGCATTCGGTCCTTCTACTGCAGTTACTACGTACAGACGATGCTGAGCTATTCCTTCTTTGATTTCTACTTCGCAAAAGACGGATGATAGGACTGGAAATCGCCGATGGACTTGCTCCACATCTGACATCAACAATTGGAGGTTTGATGATTGTCAAGGGGAAATCGCCAGATATTGTCCGTCCTGTTGGCATCCTGGGCAAAATAGCTGTTGTACTTTCTAGAGGAATCATGATACCATCCGCCAATGTTTTTAAACTTGCGTTGTTTGATTTGAAGTGTCGCGATTAATTAATTTTCTATAAATCGCCAAAAGTCAGCCCGGAGCCATAGTCACTGTTTTGGAATTTGAGGAACTTTAAACATCGTTGCTATGGGGACTTCATGTAACCTGGCTTTTGGTTTAACCGCTGACCAATCTACTTTCACGAAAAAGAGAAAGAAAACGAGATATCCACGTGAATATCCGTGCAAGAAATAAACAGTTTGGAATGAGGCCTTTAACAGAGGAAGAAACCCAAAGTGTGTTTGAAAAGCTGGCAAAATAGTGAGTACACCCTTTCTACTTTGTACCTTCGTGATTAATTTAATTATCTCATCACAAAGTAAGGTTTAAAAAGAGGTTGACTCCAGTGGCCGTAATATGACGATGCTAACTATGTATATATTTTCATTTTGTAGTATTGGGGATAATATAAAACTTCTCATCGACAGACCAGATGGAAATTATTGTTTTAGATTGCATGATGACCGAGTCTACTATGTAAGGTAAGTAGATGACGCGTTAGGACAAAAAAAAAAGAGCGACGCTTATATTTATTAAGCACATGAACAGTTTTTGTTTGTGGCCATAGCCAAGATAATATTGATAATATATTTTTACTTACTGAAAGCTGTAGGGCACAAGTGGTTTGAAATTTAATTGTTTTGGTGATAAATAGCTTCAGATGGAAGATCAGGAAGGTTTCCTTTGTTTAAATCCACAGTCTGGTTCCTATGTAGCAAAGGAGAATTTTTTGAACCAAGCAGCAGGGTATCTTACATTTTACGTACATTTCCATGATTACTAACCCCAGGAACTTATTTGGGTTTTATTTGGTGCAGTGCACTTGGCAAATCAAACTATCTATAGAGAAGACTTGGCCTAGCTACTTTTGAATTATCAACGAAAAGGATAAAGTATAAGTTACTACACCGTATACCGTACTTCCTTCATGCGTCTTGTTGAAAATTGATTATATTTGAACTGACAAAATAAAGAGGTCTGATAATTTGTAGGCTGACTAGTGCATCAAGTCATGATTCAGTTGTGTAAAGAAAAATAATTTTTTGGTGACTGAGTCATGTCAGTCACCAATGTACATGCATGCATGCATGTGCAAGACTTTACAAGTGTTAAATCTTTTCAGAAATAGCAACCAGTGGTAAGAAAATCACCACCTACCAAGTTATGTTTGTGGCTGTCTGCTCAGTTGAAATATTCCTTTTATTCTTTATTAAAAGAAAAGGGAGAGGTCTGTCTTATATTCCTGTTCTTCAAAAACAAGGATGCTTATGTCAAAATACTCTAACAGTTCCAAGTGTTTCTAAATTGTTGACTCATAGTTGTAATTTATTTTCATTTTCAGTGAAGAAATCATGAGAAAAGCCACAAATATAGCCAGAGAAAACCTAATAAGTATTGGAACATGTATTGGGAAGTTTACAAAGACAAGAAAATTCAGACTTCACATTACAGCACTTGATTTCATGGCACCATATGCCAAGGTAAGTAATTACCACTGCAGTTCACATAATAAGAGGTGATATATGTTTGTTATTATTAGCTGTAACATGTTACATGAAATCATGTACTTCTTTGGGCTCTCAAAAAAGATTGTACAGTGGAAACCTATGAGGACAGTCACCAATGGGTGCAAATGAATTGGCCACATTAACCATTTAACTCCCAAAATCTGATAGTTAATTCTCCCCTCTAGCTTCTACACATTTCCTTCTAAATTAGTCATGAGAATTTAGTGTTAGATCAAGATAACAACTTTAACCTGATAAGTTTTATTTTCTTCTCACCACCAAGCAAGACATTTCTTTTTATCTTAACTTTGATATTCTATCTACTATTTTAGGTCTTAATTGTGTTTTGGCTTTGTAGTCTTAGGCTGTTAATGTAGTTTTAAAATTCTGGTCATGTATATATATATAATTGAGAATTTTGATGTAAATTATTTTTAAGAAGCAGGGCCCCTATGGATACCAGCCTTAGAGCTGAATGGGCTACCCTGTGTGAATAAAGTTTTTACTTTTTTACTTTACTTATTATTCTCATTGCATGTTTGCTGGATTACATATGGATTTTTTTTTTTGGAGGGGGGGGGTGTCACATTTTATTCAATTCTGGGAGTTAAAGGGTTAAAAGCATGGGTGTTTTATTGGGGCAGGATCAAACTTCATAATTGCAATAATCCTTTCATCATGTTTGTAATGAAAACAGGGAGGAGCATTGCTTACTTTGTAAAGTAAATTGGCTGTCTGATTAGTAAATGACATGGTGAAATAATGGCCATAACAATGAGGTGACTGTATGACCAAAGGTGGCCATAAGACAGGGTTCCAGTGTATTTATAGTGAATATAGTTTTTATACATTGGAATGTATGTATTGGAATGAAGATGATTATATTCTTCATTTTTAGTATAAAATTTGGGTGAAGCCAGCAGGAGAGCAGTCTTTTCTCTATGGGAATCATGTTTTGAAGTCAGGCCTTGGGAGGATAACAGAAAACACACCACAGTACCAAGGAGTTATTGTATACTCTATGAATGACCTTCCACTGGTGAGTGAAAAAGAAGGTCATCTTGCATGTATCAAAATGGGATGGAATTTCTCTAAACATGTGGAAATATAGCACAGTTAACCCTTTAAAGAGTGACAAGGTTATAGTCTCTCTTAACAATCTATCCCTTGAATCAAATGTTTAAGTCACAAGAAAAAAGGAAATGATTAGCAACCAATAAAGCTCTTGATGGTTTTACAAATTCTCCTCATCAGAACCTAGGAAATGTACAAAGAACAGTATGGAGAAAAGCATAATTATGTTAGGGTGTAAAGGGTTAGTGAGTCGTGAGGATAAGAAGGATAAGAAATATGGAAATCCTTACCCATGATATTTTGTAGTCAGATGGTCTTCCCTTGAATATAAGCCCATGTGGTGGGGGAAGGGGATCACTGAATCCATATAGAAATGTGAGGAGTGATTGTTAGAAACCTAGAAACCTTTAAATTCAGTTGTATGGGTGTGGCTCCTACTAATTTCACTCACCAAAGGTGCATCAAACATGATTAAGGCATTTTTGTGTAGAGCATGTTTGTGTTAGGGAATTTTTGTAGAACAATTTTTCCATAAAGTTCTGAAAGCTACTATTTTGACTTAAAAGTACTATTCTTTGTCTTCCACTAAGACCCCAAGGAGTGCTGCTATGCAAAATTTTCAAGTTGCATTTATTTGATCCCCAGGAATATAAGTGTGCTGGGCCATCTACAAGGCTTATATGATGCGGCACTTGTCTCAAAAGTAGATTTAGTAATAGAGAAAACATTCCGTGAGACAAGAACGATTTAGTCGAAATTTTAAATACACCTAATAATTTTTTTTTAGTACTTCCCTCTCAAATAACGGGGAAATCTCTTGAAATAGGTGCGCTTCATAATTTTTTCTATTTTTCAGGGTTTTGGTGCCACGTCTCGTTCAACACAAGATTGTCGCCGAGCAAATCCTACAGATATCATTTGTTTCCATCAAGCTGATGTTGGGGAATACCTGAGATCTGAGGACACTTTGACATAACAAAATGCGGAGACCAATAAAAGATCAATTTTCAGGCATTTTTATCTTTTATTTGGAATTGTAATAACAATGAACTTTAGCTAAAAATTAAGTGAAGAAATAGCCTATTGCGGTCAATGCAATAATCAGGACAAACGTGTGTTTCAATATTTATTTTGTAGGATGCTACCACTATCTTTAAAAAGATGTTATATTGTTTGTTCATGAATAAAAAAAAAATCACTTGAAAGCAATTTAAATCAAGCCTTCTGTAGAAACTAATCCCCCGCCTAGCCTCAATCTACGCAGGTACCACAGAAGTTTGATACGGTGGCTTCGGTGACCCATAGAGGACATGCCACATTTTTTTATCGCGCGATAAAACCAAAATATCGCGCGAAAAATGGGAAAAAAATGGAAATTAATGATGATAAAAAAAAATAATTAAAATGAAAAAAAAAGCACTGAACACCCAGATATACTAGCTTAGTAGGGCTCTTAAGTAGCTATGCTCACCACGAGAGTTTCTGATTGAATTTCCGAGGAAAGATCAAAAGAACAAGTACAGAATGAGAGGAATTTTTTTTTCGGAACGATTGCGTGACATGTCCTAGCCTCCCACGAGGGCGTTTTTAATAGAAGAATGTAACGCGATCCCCTAAAAACCCCAGCGTGTAGAGGCTAGACCCGTCACGAACTCCTTAATTCCTCGCTCTATTTCCTTATATGCGTTAAGTACGGAAGCAATATGATTGTGAAAATTTTGAATATCATGTTGTGAGTACATTATCATTATCGTCCTCGTTATCGTTACTATTAATGGCTATGTATTTTTATTTAAGATGGACGGTTCTGCTGTAATATATTGCCCTGAGTTCTTCTTGAAAGAACTGGGGTTTAAGACAAAAGGCGACCTGTGCGCTCCCGGTTTTTTTTTGAGAAAGGAAAGAAAAGAAAAATAAAAAGAAGGACATGGAGGAGTGAAAACAACATTTAATTGAAAAACTGAGTTCAACTAAGGGATCACGTGTCAAGGGTTCTGCGTCGGGGAGCAGAAAAAGCTTCCTCTAGTTCCAACGTTAAGCCACGATGGCGAAAGTTCCAAATTGGCTGGCTGCACTTCTCGGAGGAGAAGGGAAGATACCTCGCAGTAAGACAGTCTACTGGGAGTAGAAAGAGGTCAATTTCGTTGCCTGGGATCAGCAAGACGTCCGACATTATTGACGAGGCTCGCAACGCGCGGAGGATCCACGTTTGGAAGATGGCTTGAAATGGATTACGATCCAGCTAACTTTAACGGTGAGAAGATTGATAAGCTTATCATCCCTGAAGGGAAAGAGACCAAATTCTCCCTTCAGTCATATTTCAATCTCTACAAGCTTACCCGTGTTCGCCTTTATCTGAAAACAAAATGAAAAGAACTTCTATCGGAGGAGACGAAAGTAGGAGAGTCGTACTCCGAGGTGAGGAACTCCAGGCTTTTAGGAAGCTCGCAAGAACGAGCCCAACTCGAAGAAACGCAAGATGAAAAGTACGAAGAAAGCCTACGCATCGACCGCGCAAAAAAGAAACAGAAAGAAGAAGCGTTGATGGAAGAAATAAGCAGAGCTAGGAAGGTCGAAGGAATTCACGCCGCTCGATTAGGTAGAGTGTTGGAGGAACCGGGCATAGATGAACCACAAGTTGTCATTCGTGTGCGTCATATCGACTTGGGAATGGTTAAGCGAGCTTCCAAACCATACCAAGCAATGGCTGCAGTGTACGATTGGATTGGCTCGCTATAGTTATTTCCAGTTTACTTCTCCCTCTGCACTGCACCAGGCGATGTGATAAACCCATCCTTACCTGTAGGGGATGTGAAAGGTAAAGTCCTTTTCATGAAACCATGAGAGACGATCCAATTCCATTGATATTACGTTTATGAAGGATGTGATAAGTCTTTTTAAAGACATAGCTGTTGCTGACACCTCTTTTAACTCGGTCATGGTCGATTCGTTTGAAAAAGAAGAAGACGGGCTGGATAATAGCGGCGTTTTCCTTGATGCACTTTCTGCGTTTTGGAACTCTTTTTATGACTGTTGTGCACTAATGGCGAAGATGAGAGAGTTCCAGTCATCAGTGGGAGGCCATAGTCAGAAGAATTGTCAAAGGGTACCAACAAGTTGGTTTTTTTCTAATTAAATTAGGCAAAGCCTTTACAACAGCCTCTCTCTTTGGTGAAGAGGTTGTAAAAGAAGATCTTTGGTTGGAATCATTCCTGGCATACCTCAGTAGTGGCGAAAGAGAACTGGTTAACCTCTCTCTGAATGGAGAACAGGAAAACGAATGGTTATAGATTTCTGGAACGTTTTGAATGTAAGTCTGTTTCAAAAGCGAAACAAAGTCAAAGATGTCGTCTTGGAGATTGCCCACAAAGAGTTGGTATTAATATGTCCGAGATGTATTGTAGACAGCTGGAGCACACCGTTGTCAGCGCTTCACCGCGAGGTTTCGTCTCCAGATTGCCCTCTGGAGATGTTTGCACGGGGCAAACCAACCAACGAGAAGATCATAAATTGCCGGCGTTATTACTATCAGTATTACTCGCAGTGTACTTATTTAAACTAAACGAAATTATAATAAAAGGAAGTTTTAGAGTTTTTTTTCAGTGTTACCGTTCCGGTTATAGCTTCTAGATTTGAAAGGAATTGAAATTCTGACGCTTAATTAATAATAATAATAATAATTAATATAGCACTGACTGAAACTGTCGTAAGTGTTGGCAATTTATACAAGGCTTAATGACGTTTGATTTTTAAGAGTGAAAGTAAACTATTTGGAACTTTATAAAAATGATATGTTTCAAAAAAACCTTTATTGGTAATGAAATTAAACCGTTTTATAAAATTATTAGTTAACTACATGTTCAGTCTAATTTTCATATGATAGACTGCGATCCGAGCCCGTGGAAATTTCATATTATTTATATTTTGTGATAAATTTTTGATGATTGCATGAGTTATACTGTTGTGTTACATTAAAATCATGAAATAAACTTTCATCAGTTCGCTTAAAATATAAACTGCGTTTGACCGTATCGAGACCGAGGGGGGCTAATTAATTCCCACGTGGTGTGACGTCATCATCCCACGTGACCTATAGCAAAATAAAAATTTTTTGACATACTATGTGCCCTCTAAGTTTCATTGTCATTGCTTAAATATCCTGGACCTTTCGGAGGGGGGGGGGTTGAATTCTCGGAGGGTGGCGTTGGGGACACATGGGGCTAGGTTTAGGTTTTCGGGTGTAATTTTTTCCCCTTGGAAAAAAAGTCTTACAAAAACTGAACTAACTGTTGTCGATGAGATAAACTAGATCCACGAAAAGGTTACGGGCTTCTAGAGCAGTTGAAGGCACTTGCCAATGTTGTTCTTGCATAATTATGTCAATCAATTCTATGCATTCCTCCAAACAATATGTGGGGCTTGTTTTGTCGCAGCATACACCATCAATCACTTTAATGTCATCTAGGTCCACTTCTGTCAGGTAATCTGTAGCATTTGTCCATGCAGGAACATAATAGAGTAAATCTGGTCGGCTAGAAGAGGATTCTACATTATGCGAAGGTCTTATCTTGTGCAGATTCCAGTGTATGGCGACTTTGTTGAGTTCTCCTTGAATCAAAGGCATGAAACAGAATCTTAAGCATCCTAAATGAAGTGGGTCACGATCGTAAAAGATACTCTCATCTCTCATGTCTTTAAAAAAGTCGATCCACCGGTTTATATCACTTTTCTTCAGAGAAGACCACCAAGCTTCTATCCTCTAATTTCTTACCGACTTTCCGTACAAGAAACTTTTATCACCTGAAAATGCATCTCGCACTCTGACCTTAGAAACAGTTTTAATCCCGCGACATACCCATTTTCTGTTTCCGCATCTGCACGCAATATCCTCGGGACTCCTCCAATTTGACGAATATAGTCTGTGAAATAGTTAGAAATTATTTTTGGGTTGTTGTTTGTACGACCAACTTCTGACCAAATAATACGTTGGCTGTAACCATCGATAGCCCTATATGTCCTATATGTCCAAAACCCAAATGGTTTGAGCTTTTTTTTAACCACCTATATGCCAGATGTAGTTTGGTCCTTTACTACGGTATTCTCTCCTCCGTAATCGCTTTGATGATAGTGACTGTACACCAGCAGGATCCAATTCTTTAATTATAACTTGTACGGTCTCCTTCTGAACAACATGACCGTAGTCAATTCTTAATCGCTGGTGCATTCGACGATAACCAATACTGTTTCCACTTCCTTCAAGTTCAGTTTCAATCGCGTTTAAAATTTCGCTAATGTCATTGTGATCCTTTCTTCTACGAAGACCCTGACGCCTAAGCACTCGTTTCAGCTGGCGCAAGCTTATTTCAATTCCATGAAAACACAAAAGAAAAGCGAGGATCTCTGATTAAGCCAGATCAAGAGAAAAGTAGTGATTAATTATATAGTTCCTCTGGAAAGTATTTGGCAGGCCATTGCCAGCGTAAGGCGGTAATACTGCGCTGGATAAATGTATTATTCCAAGAAGTAAAAGTCCTTTCAAAGCATACCTTAGCAACGTCATCTTACTGTGTTGACTGCGTGACTAATATCACGCACACGCTAAATGTGAAATATCGCGCGATAAAATTGAATTTGATGATGAATTTTAATGAAAAATTATCGCGCGATAATTTTTAATTTATCGCGCGATAAAATCAAAGGGCTCTTGGAGCCAGCTCATTCATGTTATGGCTTAAGTTTACATTGATTTCTTGGACTTGCTGAATATAGATACAGTTGAATTCGGTTTATGTGAACTTTCAAGACTTTTGGAATAAATTTTCTTTCATTTCTGAGCAGTTGTGTTATAGGAAAACTTGTGCATTCTTCGTAATGAGAATTGGAAAGAAGGTTGTGTGGGCTGGAGGTGGGATGGGCAGAGGGGTAAGGAGGGGTAGCATGCGAGACTACTTCCGTTCACGGAATACAACTTCCGTCCGCGGTCGACAACTTCCGTCAACATCTGTTTAACCACAGTACCTCATTCATTGCTTTCAGCATGAAGGAGCCAAAATAATGTGGCATGTCCTCTATGGGCCACCGTACTAAGTTTGACCTTCGCGCGGATCATGCAAATGAAAAGTTGTTAGCTCGAATTGACACGTAATAATCACGAATACATTCTTATGCCAAACGTATTCCCAAATCATTTAGTAAATATCCCTTCTCTCGAGTGCCTCATATTTCTTGTTATTCGTATGTCCTATGTTATTCCTATGTTATTTTTAATCTTGGTATTAGTGTTTCCGTTTTTAATGTGCTATGTTTGCAATACTTTCTTTAGAAACCAATGGCAATGACGGATAAGTAGAAGAGTTCGATCGAGTCGTCAAGAATTAAACTCGTCCTGTGTGACGATAGCTTTTCGCGCACAACTGAACTCTCGCGGAAGTTACAACAACAATGGGGGAAAATAGCTCGGTAGAGACAACTCGGCAGCGGAAACGGAAACTCGTCACGATTTCCTGGAACACGGCGATCTACTTCAAGCGAGCTTTCACGGACATCAAGGATAAGACAGCGTTTTGGTTCCACAGTAGACTTTATTACTAGGTCAGGCCAACAACTGACGTGACCTCTAGGATACTCAACTTTGTAATCAATGTAATCGGCACACAGTCGTCTATATAATCGAAAAAGCTTTACAATGTACTTCCTTAAGTTCGATGGAGTACGTGGTTCTATTGTTCTCTAAATCTACCATTTTTGAACTGTATAACAAAAGAAGCGGAAAAGCTCTCTTTGAAGTAAAGCGATTTCTAATTAAATACTCCATCTGTCAAAATTGAGGAAGAGGATACAATAAACTCTAGGCCATTAATAAGTAGGAAACTTAGGTGAGAATTCACAGCTCTGATACTGAAATATACCTATTTCAGTTACAGTAGAGCAGCTTAGGAAATAAAAGTGGAAAAGCTGCAATTAAAAATTTCTGCTTATCTATGCAAAGTTGGCGTGGGAAATTATCGTATGAAAGGAAACTGAAATTACGAGCACAAACTCAGCTGCCAACAACCATGAAACGTTGGTGAGTATACATTTCTTGATGCTGATAGTTTAAGCACTCGGTAGTAAAGAATTCTAGCTTGTATTCACCATCATGGCTTGGATCCTCTGTTTCGAGAGTCTGGAAAGTTACTGGGGAGCTGACCATACAAAGACAGGCCGCATATCGGACAATTATGACTAAAAGCAAAAGAAACAAAAACTGTGAGATACAGAGCTCTCAAAGCAAACTTCTTTAAAGGCGGGAAAAAAAGAGTGATCACGTCGCGGATGGGTTTAATTTTGTATCTGATTGGTCGAGAAGCTAGTGTGAGGTTTCTAGACCAATCACAGAGCGAAGTGAAGGAAAGCCAACCCAATCCCGGTTTCTTTTGACACTCGATTGGAAATGCTCATAACCAATAGGAATTCAAAGTCAGGAAAACGCGCGAAAACGTGAATGACCAAGCCGAAATTGCTGTTAGTTTTCTGCAAAACCAAAACAATCCTGAATTAGTTTCAACACTAAAATACTGCCGTTTTATACTGTAACATAGCACTATTTATTACACCCACGGAATATATGGGTTTGATGTTTACATCCCTTGAGCGTAATAGCGTCTTCATGGCATCAAGTGAGAGAGGTCTTGACACATCAATTGACAACTGCAAAAACGGTTTCATGATGACAGCATCGTCTTCTCAAAGGATGAACGCCGTTGTCATTTTCATACTTGGAGACTTTATTGATGATATCTGATTATCCTAATGATTATCATTTATCATCGTTATCATCACCACTAGTACTTAAGTTCTACTCTCTGTTATAGGCTATTTAAACATACTTACATGTCACGATTTTTCATTCCAATGACACACTCTTTATGGAACTTGTGTGAGCATGGCATGATTCGGCCATTGGTGAACACCTCCTGAAATAGCATGCAGAATTTAACGTGTCAGTAACAATCGGAATTTTTCATCATTAAGAGCTGTGTCTCTTGGGGCTTTTGAGGTCGTTTAAGATCTTTGCTACAAAGCGTAAATTCCCGGCTGTGTTTGAAGCAATTGAAAAGAAGGAAATATTCTCTATAATTACCTCACGGCAGATGGGACACACTTCATGTCCTGAGTCCGGCCGACATGGATGTTTCCCCTCCAATCGCTTCTCCATGCAAACATTGCACACGTCGCAATGAAAGGATGTGTCCTTGTTAAAGCTGAAAAACAGTTTCTTTTACATTAAATAATAGGTTTATCACGTCACTAACGTTATTCCAAGCCGGTCGATGTTTCTCCCAAAGAAAAAACCCATGGAATGTTCTTTGCAAAGGTAAAACAGACCAGTGTACAACGTATCGTTTCTTCTTTCAATCTATGTTACGTCTTTTTATGACCTTTTGGAAATTATTCAAAATGTTGTTATGCAAAACTTTGCATCACTTCGCTCTCAGCAGCACTCGGAACAGATTTTGTTGGCCAGGCAGAACAGCCTCAGTTTCACTAGCCAAAATTTGCTTCGCCTGGAGAAATTTTAAATGGCACTTAAAGAAATGTTTAAAGGGCGTACGAGTTACCAGTAATTGCAACGGCCTTTGTTGTATTCCCTTGAAACTATCTCCCTCAAGTTTAAAGAAAATAATACGTTCTAAAAAGGATTTTGACTCCGTATATAACTGGATGTTTTGAACGTATAACATACGGGGCAATGAACGTGTCAATAAGTCGTAGTATAATTCAATTCAGGGACCGCGAAGGGGGGGCTGGGGGCTTTAGCCCCCCCCACTTTTTTGCAAGAATAAAAATAAATTAAACAAAAAATAATTTAACAAAAAATTTTCCTTCACGCATTCTCCTTTAGCCCCCCCACTCGAAAACTTGCTGCGCGGTCCCTGCAATTGAAAACAACTTACCGGCAGATTTCACACTTTTCACAATGGAAAGGGTTCTTGTCAACACCTATAAAGTGCTTACACTTTGGGCAGAAATATTTTGACAATTTTACGCCACAGCGTCTGCAGGTTTGACTTTCTTCGTTTATCTGAAATTGATTAGAATATCATCAGTCAGCGGATGCTATGTTAAAAAGTGTGATTTTCTAACTTCAAAATGTTGCAAAGAAGTTGTCTTTGTGTAAGCTGAACGCGTCCTGAAATAACGAGCAGAATAAAAAGTGTCAATAACACTCATGCAGAAAGGTACACGTATCCTCGTCTGCGTTTTTTTTATGTTACGTTTTTAAGAGAAATCTCTCGACCAGTTTAAGTAAACATTGCTTCACAAGCAATATTTGGAGCAATTTTTGTAGAGGCATGACTTAAACAGCTGCTCATTGGAGTCAAGTTCTCTTGTTTCAACTAAGTTACGAAAATAAACCAGCCGACCGGGTTTTCATAATTTTGTTCCTCTAAGCAACTTTGGTACGAGTAGGTTCCAAGTATGCAAGACATGCTCACCTCTTCTTCGAGTCCACAATTGCCGCACTTAACATGCGTCGCATCATGTGCCTTCCTATCATCAGCAGAGCATGTCCCCGATAAATTGTGACAGTGTTGGCACGGATAAAACACTCCGCAACATGGAAACTTGACACGACATCTCCTTTGGTAATGCTCACACTGCCAGGGTGGAGTCTCCTGAAGTGAAAGGCTCTCCTCTGCGGTTCTGTCTTCTCTCACTCTTGTTTCCCTTTCTCTTCGCTCTTTCAATTCTCTTTCCATTCCCTCTCTATTTCCTCTCTCATCTCTTTCTCTCATTTCTCTCTGTTCTCTCTGTGCATACCCTACCATCAACCCGCTTCTTTCTGGAACCGGTGAGCGGGGGAGGCTCGAAAGTGAGGATGAGCTGCTATTGCTGGTAATAGGACGTTGGGCCCAATCGTTTGAATCCCTGTTGCCCACTGACATTCTGTACGATTGCAATAGCACGCTCCCTGTGAACTTTGTGTAAGCTGAACGCGTCCTGAAATAACGAGCAGAATAAAAAGTGTCAATAACACTCGTGCAGAAAGGTACACGTATCCTCGTCTGCGTTTTTTTTATGTTACGTTTTTTAATGAGCTTTTTTTCCTTACTCAAAATCTTGTGAGGCCATGCATTTCGTTTAATAAATAGGCTTTGCCTCGTGTTGACAGATTTATTCGATGACAAGAATCGTGATTGACATTAATTCAATAGATTGATTTAAAAGCGTTGGATTATTATGTTTTATTATTATGTTTTAAGTCAGTTTTTCAGCAGAATCGAAGTGAGAAAGAAGTTATTTTGTTATCGTTTTTCTGTCTCTAAATCTGCTTACCTGGAGAATCTGCTAACCCGTAAAGTGAGACTGTTGTAACGACCCGCCACAGAAGTAAGTTTATATTGAAGTTTTTGAATTTAGTTACAAGATAAAGACTTGATTTGCGTTTGTTCTAATTGCGAATTATAAATGTATTTCTTTTAGATCGAATAATTATTAAAGCTTGGCTTAATATTATACGGTTTGTGGTGGTCATTTGATTTAACCAGTTCCGAGTAAGGAAACATTACTGTGCATAAATTACAAGCCAGCGTTACAAGAAGGATACTCAAGAATCATGAATCCTTTGAATGTATTTTAAAAAACTTGACATGTTAAAATTTTGCTTAGCTGTAGTGTACATTATGTGTTATCATTAGGTATAATTGGTTTGTCCTAACGAGCTGCCTTTTTTAAGGAAAATGTTTTTGAAAGTTTTTTATTGCGAAGATTGCGTTACGCGTTACAACCAAAACTTGCCCATTTTTCTATCTACCCTTCACACACTTACCTGGGAATAAACAAGGACAGATTTAGCTTCAAGCAACAATTTGGCTTTAATGAAGACGTATGACCAGACAAAACAGGGATAGTTTGCCCACCAACCTAAAATGGGTACGATGATTTCAAAAATAATTTTATGCGAATTAGTACTACTGGGCTGATTGTATCCAAAAAATATTTTACAAAAGTTAGTAAGAGAACGAATAGTGCTGAAATCTAGTAGCACGAAACGAAATGAAATCGACACAAATCATAGAAAGAAATGATTTAGTGGGCTTCAAAATTTGGTCGGTCAATCAGCAGAATAATTGCCCATATGGGTGCATATTAAAGACTTACCTTCCGTATCTATAACTATTCTTTGTTTGCGCTTGTTGCAAGCGCAGAACTCTTGAAGAAGGTAATTTCGTTGTCCTTAGAGTGGTCTTTGAAACCGAAAATTCAAATGTGATCCTTAAAAAGTCGTGGTGTAAGTATTCAAGAACAAATGTAACATTCACAGTTTGTCGCTTAAATTAAGTCCAAGCCTGTGAAATTTCCTAACATTTTGCTGTGTCTTGTCCGCCTTCTCGGTTTGTTTGCGCATGCGCCGATAAAACTTGTTCGGCGCATTCGACTTCATTTTGATATTTTTAGTGCTCTTCTGGGCGATCGACACCTTTTTGTAAAATTTTTGGAAAGGGATGAAAGAGTATAACAAGTTTATCACCATTTCTAACTCTGTGGATACTCGTGGAGCTTGCTGGCTCTTCGGACGAGGATATTTTAATGGTCAAAGTGCGAACAAAACGCCAAAAAAGGCCGAAAACTTGAAGTTTGAGATTTGATTTGCTGACCATCAAAATGTGCACATGAGACAACAAACCTTGACGGTTAGTCTTAAGATGTGGATGTCTTACTTCTGTGAATCACGAAGTTGTATGTGGAGGCGATCGTGAGATATTCGTTACGATAATAGAAGGTAGTTTAGAATTTGATCTTATTTTAATTAAACTTTGATATAAAATTGCGTTAAGTTCGAGGTGGCTCCCCAAGCTTCAAATCACTTCAAATCACTTCGTTTTTTCTTTCTCTTTGTAGTCACATAGAACACAAGGCTTTAAAAAATGTTCCAGCTTCAGGATTGAGTCGCTCTTACTACAACCTTTGGCGAATTCGTTTTTGGGAGGTTGAGATGGATTTTCCAAGTCATGGCTTACAAGTGTCTTTGGCCTTTTTGCTCTCCAAGTCTGTTGCACATGGTATGTGGGTATGTGTCTTAACAACGGTTATAGTCTTGTCTCAATCATCTCCGGTTTTATCTTATTTTGTTGCTATGTTTTGGTGAGAATTTTTCTAATTGCCTTTTTGAGCTTGAAGTGCCGACTAGAGGATAAACTTCGGTAGAACTTATTTATCACATGGCCCCCAAATCCCTCACCACTGTCAGTTCGTTGGTTATTTACTTAGCTTTCGGCCTAACCAGTTCATTTACCTCAAAAAAATGAGTGGGTTCTGTCTCATAAGTTTAAACTGGTGCCGTTTTCATCATGTTCATGTGCTATTCGAAACGAATGGCGTCAGCTTCATTCTGTCCTATTTATTTCAGTAGGATACCTCTGCTATAAGAAATGAATTTGAGTCGAAGTGTACTATGAAACTTGCAGGTTAAAATTATCAAACTCTCTGTGGTTCTTAAAATATGAGACGAGTGATACAACAGATGGATAATTACTCAAGGGGCTGGAACTCCTTGTTTCTTCAGAATGTTTACTACAGTATTTCTGTCATATTTAAAAACGAATTTCACATTAAAATGTCTTCAAACCAGTGTGACTTGTATTTCACTTTGCCAGAAATGTCGTGATCCTTCGATTTCTTTTTCTTACTTGAGACTGATGATAGGAATTAACTTTTATGTTCTCTGCTGTCAAGGGAGATGTGACCCCACTACATATAGTTGGTACTATTGACAGAATGGATAGGTGTGACATTTACTGAGCCTAGCTGGTATTCAAGGGAATGTAATTAGTACCAGAAGCTTACTATTGGTATAAATGATCAATCTTTTGTTCATTCCTTGCAACTTGCCTCATCCAGCTCATGCTATATGCAACTTGTGTCTAAACTTATTCACAACTGTAAAATTACCAATCAAATTTTTGAAAGTATTGTCCAAATTTTATTGGAAAAGAATATAAGGTGTGATCAGGTGAAATGTTGTCATGTTCCTTAAGAGTGCTGAGCTTCCAGTGAGAGCTATAAAATGTCTTAAGTGACTGATAGATGATTTGTCTGCTTTAAAATTGGCACAGCCAAACCCCTGGCTTGAAAACTATAAATTTCTTCAATGCCCATTACCTCAGAATATGCAATGTCAAAGTCCCCTTTTGACTAAGTCTCATTTCTCTAAAATCTGATAGATGTAAATCATCTAAAAATGAGATCAACAAACCTCTCCACATTAGTTTAATCTGACCTTATTTAGTCCTGTTCCCAGGAAAAAAGACTTTGGGAAATATTTTGTTTTTTTATCCTCGCTGTTAAATATCAGCCTTTCTGTTTCTTTGTTGTTTGGCATGTAATAAGAGTCATTTCAGAACACTTAATTGTCACAGAACTCTTGGAATTTAATAGGTTGTAGAATAAGGTTGGAAAGAGTATGTATGATTTTATTGTGCAGTTGAAATGATAAAATGAATATAATTTTTATTGGGAAAAAATTGATTTATTCAACTATTCATATAACAACTGGAAGCCACAACTTTTAAAGAAACTGTCATCTTTCAGTATAACACTTTTTGACAAGGAAATAACACCTGTGCCTGTCGTTAAGGACTTGGGTGTTCTTCTCGACACACACCTCAGTTATAACCAACATATCACTGAGATTGCCTCTAAATGCCTTTTTAAATTGTACCAAATGAACAGAATCAAACACCTCCTGGATAGGAAAACACTTCTGTTAGTAATAAATTCTTTTGTCTTTAGTAAACTCCAATATTGTTCAACTGTCTGGAGTAATACCAGCAGCAGCAATATTGACAAGTTACAAAAAGTCCAAAACTTTGCCGGGCTTAATTATTCTGGGACTAAGAAAGTATGACCATATTTCGGATGGGTTTGCGATCGTTGAAATGGCTTCCTATTAGAGAGAAACTCATTCTAAATGACGCTACTATGATGCACAAATGTATTAACAAGCTTGTTCCAGACTATCTTGCTGATATGTTTAAATTACGTTCTCAAGTCCATAATAGACAAACTCGATCATCTGGTGCTTTGGATATACCTTTATGTCGCCTGTCAACAGGGCAGCGCTCCTTTGCTTTCAGAGGAGCCAAACTCTGGAACTCCTTGAATGATAACATTAAGTCTTTAAAATGCCCCAGGAATTTAGACGTCATCTTGCAAACGTTTTATTAAGTTGATATATTATATTATTGATATATATTTTGTAATTATAATATTATTGTATTTACATTCTCAATTAATTTATATATTGAGCTGAAAAGCCCACTTAGGGAGCATCAATAAAGTATATGTATGTATATGTAAGCCCAAACTAGTACTTGCTTTAATTCTCAATTTTTCCATGTCATTTATCATATCTGATGTTATTTTCAAGACTAATGATTGAAAAGACTTTTCCTTACTCTGTTAAAATCCACAATTATTCATCCATTTCTAACAAACTCTTTGATCTAAGGCAACCATATCTCCAGAACTAATGTTGTCTTACTTTTCTTTACTTGACATTGACCTTTTTGTTTTGGTAACCGACCCCACCAATTGTGATTCATGTCAAAAAAAAACTTGTAAAACAAAACAAACTTTTGTAAACTTTAACTTTTTGCTAAAATTGAAGTACATTGCAATAGCAGCACAGTTGGAGCTCTAAAAAATGCTCACAGGAAAGTGAGTACTTCAAATGATCAACTATAACTTGAGATAGCAATGACACAATAGAAGTATACCATCCAATTTATTGGTGCTCTTCAACAGGCCTCTTGCATCTTTCACAACTAACCTCTACATCCAGAATGCCCAAACAATTACAAGACAAGACTTGAAGTTGTTTGTACAATCTTTTACTTTTGAAAATAACCTCCTTCCACACACCATGCAACAATTTTTAATGTTTAAATTTTTGCCGCATCCATCTAAGTTACAGATGGAAAAATGACAAGAAAAGTTGTCTCAAATACTCGATCCATTGTTGTTTTCTGACATATTTTCCTGCTTCTTTTCTTTCGCAATTCTTGAGCGGAAAACTAATGCAGGCACATACCAGCAGTTTCTCGCATCAAACTAAAACTTACAGAACATGCAAATGCCCCTCTGCTTGGAAAGCTGGAAATTGTCGGCTATTCCAATATGGTGGACTATTCTGGTAACTCTATTTACGATTTACCTATAGTCAAGCAATGTGATTGAACCAAACATGAACATTATAACATGCTTTACATATGAAGAATACATTGTTGAGTCTAAATCAAGGAAATTTTGCTAAATTTTGTATGGCTGCTTCCTTCACCCTCGTCGATCTTAAGTTTGTTGTTCAGCAGAGTTTTAGCTTAACACTGTAGCTGCTAAGACCTGCGCTTGCAAAGGTAAACAAAACTTAGGAATGGTATTGCCACTATAATGCCCTTGTCATAGTGCTACTGGTTAGAAAGATCCCCAAGATGAAATTTCTATTGTCTTGTACCTCTAGCCAGTAGGATCTCAGGAGGCTTTAAAAAATACTATTGGCTAGGGGTACAGCTTGCATATTAAGTCAACTTTGCCAAATAGTTACTACACCTTTGTACGGTTTGCGTCACGTTTAACTTTTTCTACACTCCAAATTAGCCTTACACTCCTTTGAGTCACTTTTTTCATGAATATGTTTCCATTTATTTTTTATTTGGTCTTGAACCCCTAGCCGGGAGCTATCACCTAGAGATAAACCTTGCATATTTAGTCAACTTTGCCCAATTTTTGCAACCGTTTGCTCCACAATTTCCTTTCCTGTGCTCCAAATTGTAGTGTTACACCTTGGAATCATTTTATTCTAAGAATTCATTTCATTTTTTTTATTTGATCTTGAACCTCTAGCTGGTAAGATCTTTGGAGGCTTAGGAAATACTACTGGCCAGAGGTACTGCTTACATACTAGTCAACTTTGCCCAATTTTTAATATGGTTAGCTTACATTTCACTTTTCTGTACTTCAAATTTGTCTCACACTCCTTGGAATCATTTTTTTCAAGAATACATTTCCATTTATGGGTGTTTTACTGGGGCAGGATCAAACTTCATAATAACAAGGGTCAAAATTTATTTCCTTTCATCATGTTTGTAATGAAAACAGGGAGGAGTGTTACTTACTTTGTAAAATAAATTGGCCATTTGATCAGTAAGTGACAAAGATCAATGAAATTGACATGTTTCAAGCATTTTTGTTTTCTTAATTTAGTGGGATGAAATTATAAAGGATTGTACTGTTTGGGACTGTAAATGTGGCCATAGCTGACCACATTAACATGTGTTTTTTTATACAAAAATCTATGGCCATTTTCTCAGCCATAAAATAGAGGCCATAACAATGAGGTGACGGTATTACCAAGGTGGCCATAAGACAGGGTTCCCCTGTATTTATAGTGAATATAGTTTTTATACATTGGAATATTATGAGCTATAATGTTTCATGTATGTTCTTCATTTCCAGTCTAAAATCTGGATGAAGCCAGCAGGAGAGCAGTCTTTTCTCTATGGGAATCACATCTTGAAGTCTGGCCTTGGGAGGATAACAGAAAACACACCACAGTACCAAGGAGTTATTGTATACTCTATGAATGACCTTCCACTGGTGAGTGAAAAAAAACTGTCATCTTGAAGGGAGATTTTGTATGCACGTATCAAAATGGGATGGAATTTCTCCAAATGTGTGAAAATATAGCACAGTTAACCCTTTAAAGAGTGAGAAGGTTCTAATTCCTCTTCACAATTTATTCCTTGAATCAATTCACAAGAATAAAGGAAATGATCAGCAACTAAGACAGCTCTTGATGGTTTTACAAATTCTCCTTGTTAGAACCTAGAAAATATAAAGAGAACAGTATGGAGAGTATGCATAATGATGTTAAGGTGTAAAGGGTTAGTGACTTGTGATGTGAGGATAAGAAATATGGAAATCCTTACCCATGATAGTTTGTGATTAGATGGTCTTCCCTTGAATATAAGCCCATGTGGTGGGGGAAGGGAATTATGGAATTCATAAAGAAATGAGGTCAGTGATTGTTGGAATTTGTAATAAAAACCTTTAAATTCAATTGTATGGGTGTGGCTTCTAATTTCACCCACCAGAGGTGCATCAAACATGATAGGGCATTTATGTGGTAGAGCATATTTGTAGAATAATTTCTCCATAAAAGGTCTGAAAGCTAGCAGTGCTATTCTTTGTCTTGTACTAGGACCCCAAGGAGTACCACAATGCAAAAATTTAAAGTTTCCATCATTTTTTTCCAGGGATTCAAGTGTGCTGGACCATCTACAAGGCTCATATGATATGGCACTTTTCTAAAATGTAGGATTAGCAATAGAGAACGCATTCAGTGTGGCAAAAACAATTTAATCAAAACTTCAAATACACCAAAAAATTCGTTTATTGAGCACTTCCCTCTCAAAAAATGGGGAAATCTCTTGAAATAGCTGCACTTCCTAATTTTTTTTATTTTAGGTTTTTGGTGCCACGTCTCGTTCAACACAGGATTGTCGCCAAGCAAATCGTACAGATATCATGTGTTTCCATCAAGCTGATTTTGGGGAATACTTGAGATCTGAGGACACTTTGACATAACAAAATACTGAGAACAATAAAAGATCAGTTTTTAGACATTTTTATCTTTTAATTTGAAATTGTAATAACATTGATCTGTAGCTAAAAATGAACCCTTTACACCCTAACATCACTAAAGGTCTTTTCCATACTGTTCCTCATACATTTTTTAAGGTACCGACAAGGAGAATTTGTGTAACAATCAACAGCTTTTGCTGCTGATAATTTTCTTTATTCTCAAGACCTTACTGCATGATTCAGGGGTGATCTTGTAAGGAGAAATTAGATGCTAGTCACTCTAAAGGGTTAAAGGGTTGAGTTTAGAAATAACCTATTGCAGTCAGAGCAATAATCAGGACGAACGTATTTTTCAATATTTATTTTGTAGGATACTACTACTATCTTAAAATAACGTATTATTGTTTGTTCATGAACAAAACAAACCGCTTGAAAAAAATTTAAATCAAGCCCTCTGTAGAAACTAATCCCCCGCCTAGCCCCAATCCATGACGGTATCTATGTGAGTTTGACCTTCGCGTCTGGAGAACGTTATAGCAAACCTATTTGTTACAAAAGAAGCTGTTCTTCAACCTCTTTGGGCAAGTTAGTAGGTATATCCCATCCACACCATAAAAACGTGTCGTTAAACTGGATTGAAGTGAAAGAAACAGAGACCTAAAGAACTGAGAATGTTTCCATACATTTCAAGTAGCGTATTAAAAAGACCCATAATAATTAGTTTGAAATAATTTCGCTTTTATGACTTCTTTTTTGATTCCAACCACGTTAAGTTATATTTCAAACGTGGCATATTGATTGTTTTTAGCACTTTGTAGTGGAGAATTCTAGCTTGTATTAACCATCTTGGCTTGGATCCTCTGTTTCGTGACCTTCCACAGGGCGGCGGCACATCGGGCAAGTAAGACTAAAAGCAAAAGAAAAAGAAACTGTAAGATACAGAGCTCTCAAAGTACACTCCTCTAAAGGCGGGAAGAAAAGGAGTGATTATGTCGCAGATAGGGTTAGTTTTGTATCTGATTGGTCCAGATATAGTTTTCTGGACCAATAACAGAGCGAAGTGATGGAAAGCCAACGTAATCCCGGTTACTTGTGACACTTGTTTAGAATTCCTCATAACCAATAAGAATTCAAAGTTAGGAAAGTGCGCGAAAACGTGAATGACCAAGCCGAAATTGCTTTTAGTTTTGTACTTGATTTGTTGAGAAGCTGGCTCGAGTTTCCTGCCAAACCAAAGTTATCCTGGATTTCTTTCGACATTGACGAACAAACTGCCGTTTGATACTGTACCTCATCGCGTAACACAGCACTACTTGTTACACCCACAGAATATCCGAGTTTTATGTTTACATCACTACAGCATAATGGCGTGTTCATTGCATCAAGTAAGAGAAGTCTTGATACATCAACTGACAACTGCGGAAACGGTTTCATGATGACAGCACCACCACCATTACTTAAGTTATACTCTCGTTTATTAATATCCTTTAAAACGTTATGAACAGTTACTTTGGACTATCTAAACATACTTACACGCGATTCTGTATCTTTGCATAAATCATCATTCTAGAGGCACACTCTTTATGAACCTTATGTGAGCATGGCATGATTTGGCCACCAGTGAACACCTCCTGAAATAGCATGCAGAATTTAACGTGTCAGTAACACTCGTACCCAGACATTTTCATTATTAAGAGCTGTCTCATACGGCTTCAGATGTCTTTTAAGATCTTTGCTACAAAGCATAAATTCCCACCTGTGTTTGGAGCAATTTAAAAGTGTGGAATATGATCTCTATATAATTACCTCAAAGCAGATGCAACAATTGTCAAGTCCTGAGTTCAGCCGACATTTGTGTTTTCCCTCCATTTGCTTCCCCATGCAAACATTGCACACGTCGCAGTGAAAGGATGTGTCCTTGTTTAAGCTGAAACAACAGTTTGATTAAATGAAATGATAGGGCCATCACGTCACTAACGTTATTCTAAGCCGGCGGATGTTTCTCCCACAGCAAAAACCATTCTATTGTTTTCTTCTTTCAATCTATGTTACGTCTCTTTATGACCTTTTGGAAATTGTTCAAAATGTTGTTGCGCAATGCAATACTTTGCATTGCTTCGCTCTCAATAGCACTCGGGATAGATTTTGTTGGCCAGGCACAGTGGCCTCAGTTTCACGAACCGAGATTTTCTTCGCCTGGAGAAATATTCAATAGCACTTAAAGAAACGTTTGGAGCGCACGAGTTAACAGTACTTATAACAGCCTTTGTTGTATTCCCTTAAAACTATCTCTTTTAGGTTTAAAGAAAAAAATACGTTCTAAAAAGGATTTTGACTCTGCATATAACTGGATGTTTTGAATGTATAGCATACGGGGTAATGAACGTGTCACTAAGTCGTTTTATATTATAAGCTCAGTTCTGCACGCATTCTGGTTGGTTCTCACTTATGATCTATTGGAGAACAGACGTATAGATGACGTCATCATTAAAACTTGTTTTAATTCTTTATTATATAAAACAAATAGATTCCAAGTTGCCGTGCGTCTGTTCAGTAATAAATCACAGAGGACGTCAAAATGTGGTCAGAACATCAGTGACACACTCGGCTGCGCCTCGTGTGCCACTATTTTGTTCTGACCACATTTTGACGTCCTCTGTGATCTATAACTGAACAGACGCATGGCAACTTGGAATCTATTTGTTAAGTATAATTCAATTGAAAAACAACTTACCGGCAGATTTTACACTTCTCACAGTGGAAAGGGTTCTTGTCAATACCCATAAAATGCTTACACTTTGGGCAGAGATATTCTGACAATTTTACGCCACAGCGTCTGCAGGTTTGACTTTCTTCGTTTATCTGAATTAGATTAGAATATCATCAGTCAGAGGGTGTTACGTTAAAAAGTGATTTTTAATTTCAGAATGTTACAAAGAAGTTGTTTATCCCTCTATCAGTTAAGCTAAACATTGTGTCACAAGCAATATCTAGAGCAATTTTTATAGAGGCATGATTTAAACAGTTGCCTATTGGAGCCAAGTTCTTTTGTTTCAACTAAGTGACGATAATAACCCAGCATGTTACATTGATTTCCCGTCATAGAACTGTAGGATCAAACTAAAAGCCTCGCACCAACTTCTCACCCAATCAGATGCCAAACCAAAACCAGTGGGAACCTGGCCAAAATTGTTTTCCCGCGCTGCTTGGCCTTCGTGCTTACAAGGAATTTGTTTTCTGTTTTCAACGTCGCTCAAGCCGTAGTCTTTCTATTGCTCTTGGTTTTCTGATTAATCTGAAGTTAGATGTAACTCACTCCCATGGGATCTTAACGTCAGGTATTTGGGATTAAATCGGGTTTTTATGACTTTGTTTCTCTAAGCTACTTCCTTACGACAAGATTCCAAGAATGCAAAAGATACTAACCTCTTCTTCGCGTCCACAATTTCCGCACTTGACATGCGTCGCATGACGTGCCTTCTTATCATTAGCAGGGCATGTCCCCGATAAATTATGACAGTGTTGGCACGGATAAAACATTGCGCAACATGAAAACTTGACCGTGCAATGTCTCTGGTAATGCTCACACTGCCAGAATGGAGTCTCCTGAAGTGACGAAGGCAAACCACTAAGTGCTGGAACAACTGCATCGGAGGTCCAGTACCTGTTGAAGTCCCCAACGCGTTGTTGTCTATGACTACTAAACAAATCAATAGTGGAAGTACCAAAACTTGGTATGGTAACGGCTGAATTTCTCACAGGGGGCGCCAATGGTCTGACTCCAGGTGAGGGCTGAGTCTCACTTCCTACAGAAACATTTTCAAACCTTGAGCAGCCAGTTTGATGTTTGTTTCTTGGCAGGTTTTCATTTCGGTCAGGCCAGTCAGTGCCTCGGCTGGGAAACTGCCCCCTTGTTGGTGTCACAGGTTGGTAATTCACTGGCAATGGACCTCTGTGCCGTAGACTCTTTGCCCTGGAATATACATTCCCTAGCATCAACCTGCTTCTTTCTGATGCTGCCTGAGTCTTATTTCCTACAGAAACGTTTTCAAACCTTGGAAACGTTTCCTCTCTTTGCTTCTTTTCTCTCGTATCCCTATGTCTTTGTGCCACCTCTCTTTGCTTCCTCGATCTTGCATCCTTATGTCTTTGTGCCACCTCTCTTTGCTTCCTCGATCTTGCATCCTTATGTCTTTGTGCCACCTCTCTTTGCTTCCTTGATCTTGCATCCTTATGTCTTTGTGCCACCTCTCTTTGCTTCCTTGATCTTGCATCCTTATGTCTTTGTGCCACCTCTCTTTGCTCCCTTGATCTTGTATCCGTATGTCTTTGTGCCACCTCTCTTTGCTCCCTTGATCTTGCATCCTTATGTCTTTGCGCCTTTTTTTTCTTCCTTGATCTTGTATCCCTATGTCTCTGTGGCGCCTCTCTCTGCTTTTTGGTTCGTTCTTCTCGCTCTTTAGGAACTCTATCGATTTCAGCCTCTTGTTGTTCTAGAGGAACCAGTGAAGGGTACCTGAGCGATACTGAGGCAAATGAATCGCCCCATTGATAATTGAATAGGCCATGGCTCCTCAAGCTTTCCTCTCGTCTCTCTGAATAAACCATTTCTGTTGAAGTCAAACCTCCATTTGCTTGGGTATCCCCATGGGAGGGCCTGTACATGTTGAAGTCCCCTACGCCTTCTTGTCCATGACTGCTAAACTCATCCTTAGTGGAAGTAACTGGGGCTACACTTCCTGAAGTCGTGCTTGAAGAGAATTGCCGAGTGTTGGTATGAAAATCTGGTGTGGTAACGGCTGGATACCTCACAGAGGGCGCCAATGGTCTGACTCCAAGTGAAGGTGATGCAGCCTGAGTCTTATTTCCTACAGAAACGTTTTCAAACCTTGAAAAGTCAGTTTGATGCTTGTTACATGGCAGGTTTTCATTTCGGTTAGGCCAGTCAGTGCCTCGGCTGAAGCTAAAGACAATGGGGAACTGCCCCCTTGTTGGTGTCACACGTTGGTAATTCACTGGCAATGGACCTCTATGCCGTAGACTCACCTCACTGGAATATACATTCCCTAGCATCAACCTGCTTCTTTCTGAAGGGGGGGGCTAAAAAGTGAGGAGGAGGTGTCACTAATGGTTGTAGGATGTTGGGTCCAATCATTTGAATGCTTGTGGCTCACTGGCATTCTGTAGCATTCTGATGGGTTCTTTGGAAAGTAAAACAAAATATGCAAAGGGTGTCAATGATAAAGCTGGTACTTTTTTTTTGTGCTTTTTGTGTCCTTTAAAACCTTTGTCACAAAGCGTAAATTCCCGGCTGTGTTTGAAGCAATTTAAAAGTATTAAATATGATCTATAATTACCTCCAAGCAGATGCAACACTCGTCGTGTCCTGAGTTCGGCCGACATTCGTGTTTTCCCACCATTCGCTTCTCCATGCAAACATTGCACACGTCGCAGTGAAATGATCTGTCCTTGTAAAAGCTGAAAAACAGTTTGGTTAAATTAAATGATAGGGTTATCACGCCACTAACGTTATTCCAAGCTGGCGGATGGTTCTCTCAAAGCAAAAACTATTGCAATGTTCTTTGCAAAGGTAAAACAGGCCAGTGTTCAACGTATCGTTTTCTTCTTTCCATCTATGTTACGTCTCTTTATGACCTTTCGGAAGTTATTCAAAATGTTATTGTGCAATGCAAAACTTTGCATCACTTCGCTCTCAATAGCACTCGGAACAGATTTTGTTGGCCAAGCAGAGTGGCCTCAGTTTCACGAACCGAGATGTGCTTCGCCTGTAGAAATATTCAGTGGCACTTAAAGAAACGTTTGGAGGGCGCAGGAGTTAACAGTTCTTATAACAACCTTTGTTGTATTCCCTTAAAACTGTCTCTTTTAGGTTTAAAGAAAACAATACGTTCTAAAAAGGATTTTGACTCTGCATATAACTGGATGTTTTGAATGTATAGCATACGGGGTAATGAACGTGTCACTTAGTCGTTTTATATTATAAGCTCAGTTCTGCACGCATTCTGGTTGGTTCTCACTTATGATCTATTGGAGAACAGACGTATAGATGACGTCATCATTAAAACTTGTTTTAATTCTTTATTATATAAAACAAATAGATTCCAAGTTGCCGTGCGTCTGTTCAGTAATAAATCACAGAGGACGTCAAAATGTGATCAGAACATCAGTGACACACTCAGCTGCGCCTCGTGTGCCACTTTTTTGTTCTGACCACATTTTGACGTCCTCTGTGATCTATTACTGAACAGACGCACGGCAACTTGGAATCTATTTGTTAAGTATAATTCAATTGAAAAACAACTTACCGGCAGATTTTACACTTCTCACAGTGGAAAGGGTTCTTGTCAACACCTATAAAATGCTTACACTTTGGGCAGAAATATTCTGACAATTTTACGCCACAGCGTCTGCAGGTTTGACTTTCTTCGTTTATCTGAATTAGATTAGAATATCATCAGTCAGAGGATGTTACGTTAAAAAGTGATTTTTAATTTCAGAATGTTACAAAGAAGTTGTTTATCCCTCTATCAGTTTAGCTAAACATTGCGTCACAAGCAATATCTAGAGCAATTTATATAGAGGTATGATTTAAACAGTTGCCTCTTGGAGCCAAGTTCTCTTGTTTCAACTAAGTGACGATAATAACCCAGCATATGACATTGATTTCCCGTCATAGAACTGTAGGATCAATCTAAAAGCCTCGCACCAACTTCTCACCCAATCAGATGCCAAACCAAAACCAGTGGAGACCTGGCCAAAATTATTTTCCCGCGCTGATTGGCCTTCGTGCTTACAAGAAATTCGTTTCCAACGTCGCTCAAGCCGAAGGCTCTCTATTGCTCTTGGTTTTCTGATTAATCTGAAGTTAGATGTAATTCACCCCCGTGGGATCTTAACGTCTGGTATTTTGGGATAAAATCGGGTTTTTTATGACTTTGTTTCTCTAAGCTACTTCATTACGACAAGATTCCAAGAATGCAAAAGATACTAACCTCTTCTTCGCGTCCACAATTTCCGCACTTGACATGCGTCGCATGACGTGCCTTCTTATCATTAGCAGGGCATGTCCCCGATAAATTGTGACAGCGTTCGCACGGATAAAACACTCCGCAGCATGGAAACTTGACAGTACAACGTCTCTGGTAGTGCTCACACTGCCAGGGCGGAGTCTCCTGAAGTGGAAGGCTCTCCTCTGCGGTTCTGTCTTCTCTCACTCTTGTTTCCCTTTCTCTTCGCTCTTTCAATTCTCTTTCCATTCCCTCTCTATTTCCTCTCTCTTCTCTTTCTCTCATTTCTCTCTGTTCTCTCTGTGCATACTCTATCGTCAACCCGCTTCTTTTTGGAACCGGTGAGCGGAGGGGGCTCGAAAGTGAGGATGAGCCGCTATTGCTGGTAATAATACGTTGGGTCCAGTCGTTTGAATTCCTGTTGCTCACTGACATTCTGTACGATTGCAATAGCACGCTCCCTGTGAACTTTGTGTAAGCTGAACGCGTCCTGAAATAACGAGCAGAATAAAAAGTGTCAATAACACTCGTGCAGAAAGGTACACGTATTCTCGTCTGCGTTTTTTTTATGTTACGTTTTTTAATAAGCTTTTTTTCCTTACTCAAAATCTTGTGAGGCCATGCATTTCGTTTAATAAATAGGCGTTGCCTCGTGTTGACAGATTATTCGATGACAAGAATCGTGATTGACATTTATTCAATAGATTGATTTAAAAGCGTTGGATTATTATGTTTTAAGTCAGTTTTTCAGCAGAATCGAAGTGAGAAAGAAGTTATTTTGTTATCGTTTTTCTGTCTCTAAATCTGCTTACCTGGAGAATCTGCTAACCCGTAAAGTGAGACTGTTGTAACGACCCGCCACAGAAGTAAGTTTATATTGAAGTTTTTGAATTTAATTACAAGATAAAGACTTGATTTGCGTTTGTTCTAATTGCGAATTATAAATTGTATTTGTTTTAGATCGAATAATTATTAAAGCTTGGCTTAATATTATACGGTTTGTGGTGGTCATTTGATTTAACCAGTTCCGAGTAAGGAAACATTACTGTGCATAAATTACAAGCCAGCGTTACAAGAAGGATACTCAAGAATCATGAATCCCTTGATTGTATTTTAAAAAAGTTGAAATGTTAAAATTTTGCTTAGTTGTAGTGTACTTTGTGTGTCATCATTAGGCATAGTCCGTTTGTCCTTACGAGCTACCTTTTTAAGGAAAATGTTTTTGAAAGTTTTTACCGCGAAGATTGCGTTACAGCCCGAACTTCTCGTTTTTCTACCTACCTATTACACACTTACCTGTGAATAAACAAGGACAGACTTAGCTTCCAGCAACAATTTGGCTTGAATGAAGACGTATGACTAGACAAAATAGGGATAGTTTGCCCACCAGTCTAAAATGGGTACGGTGATTTCAAAAATAATTTTATGCTAATTAGTACTACTGGGCTGATTGTATCCAAAAAATATTTTACAAAAGTTAGTAAGAGAACGAATAGTGCTGAAATCTAGTAGCACGAAACGAAATGAAATCGACACAAATCATAGAAAGAAATGATTTAGTGGGCTTCAAAATTTGGTCGGTCAACCAGCAGAATAATTGCCCATATGGGTGCATATTAATGACTTACCTTTCGTATCTATAACTATTCTTTGTTTGCGCTTGTTGCAAGCGCAAAACTCTTGAAGAAGGTAATTTCGTTGTCCTTAGAGTGGTCTTTGAAACCGAAAATTCAAAGGTGATCCTTAAAAAGTCGTGGTGTAAGTATTCAAGAACAAATGTAACATTGCCACAAAAATATTGTGCTAATGCCTTCTGGGAAGTCACAGCCACACAGACAGCAGGTAAATGAAGGAAAGCACATTGACCTAAACCAGATGAGCCCACGACATATCAGCGGCATCTTGTATGAGTATCCGCAGTCACCCGTTCCTCACGTTGTAACCCAGTAACTACTGGACTTGTAATGACGTTGTAACCAGTCAATTAATGCATTGTAATCGGGATAGACCTATTGACAAATCTAGACCTGGGGGAGGGGTGAATGAGTAGCTAAAATGTCGTGTGTAATCTACGTATCACTGGCGCGCTAATTCGGATCGATCGATTCAGAAGAGATATATTTTTCCTTTATTTGCAAGCTCACACGCTTTATCTGTGCAATTAGCCGACACCTTTCTGGTCGTAAATTTGGTTTATCGATCATTTTCAAGGTGAGTATCACTAATAATAAAAGGTATTCTACTTTGTTTAATGTTCGAGGCACTTGTCCGATGATTTGATGATCGGATATGATCGATAAGTTACAAATATTTCGAAGCCTTTATTTACCTCTCAAAAATTCACGGGTCGATAGGTAAGCAAACCATCACAATATTTTATAAACCAGTAATCGTGCATCTCATTTAAATTAATGAGAGCCATTTATTTGCGGGCTACAAGTACCAGTATTCACAATAGTGATTCATGCATGTGCGGCTTAACAGTCATCTCGCCATCAGTTACAATGAATATCATGACAGTTATTTTATATTTAAGATTATTGTCATTTCGAGAACTGAAAATAAAAATTCCAATCTACAAATAAAGTCACATTTAGCATGTTTATGTGTATTAATATATAGTCCCACAACGATCCATCGCATTCTAGATAACTGATGAACTGTCTAGTTGTCCTCGTGCACCGGTGCTGTACCGGTGCGTAAAGGAATAACCATTGTATTTTCTTTGTTTAGGAGTCATTGGTTAGCTGTTATGTATTTTTTGGTCTTTTGTATCGGCTCTTGTGTACCGTTACCCGAGGACAAAACCAAAATGTGGATTACATTCATCTCATTACAATCCAATTATTTGTGGATTACAATATTTGCATTACAATCCAATAATTTATGGGTTACAATCATCTCATCACCATCCAATAATTTGAGGATTACAATTATTTCCTTACAATGCAATAATTTGTGGGTTACAATCATCTCATTACAATCCATTATTATATGGCTGCGATAGTACGTGCACTCTGATTGGTTAATTAGGGGTCCAGAATCCCCCGGTAATTGCTTATGGGCATTACAGATTTTCCCCCCACAAAACCTAGTGAACTTAGTGAACTTAGTGACTTTCCCTGAAAGAAACTTCGTTGAAAAAAGACAAAATTGAACATTGAACAAAACATGTATCTCTTCTTTAAATATGAGTTCTGAAGAAGATTTTCTTCATAAGTTTATTACCCTGATGAAATTGTGACGTAAATGATAGGCAATGTAGATGTTCTCTCTATTCCGCTTGCTTTGCCTATGTGAAGGCATATAATAAATAACTTAACAGACTTCGGGCTGAATTTTTGCTTTATGGACCGTACCCAGAGGCTCAGTCCATAAAGCAAACATTTCATCCCTCAGTCTGGAATTTTACAGTAAAGCCATTGCGCATGGTGCACATAAATAATTTTTGGATTACAATCATCTCATTACAATTCAATAATTTGTGGATTACAATCATTTTATTACAATCCAATAATTTGTGGATCATCTCAGTACAATTCAATGGTTTGTGGGTTACAGTCATCTCATTGCAATCCAATCCATTATATATGCTTCCTTCTATACCTTATGTATTTTAAGGATTTTGCTGGCAATTCCCTTCCGTCCTTTCGCAACTTGAGCTCCTTTATGAACCCTGTGGTTATAAAAGCTACCTCCTCCTCGTCGCAAGGTCGCGTGGTATACACTTTTTCATAATTTATCCGTTGATGTTGTTGACTGTTTTAAATAACTGGATTTGTATGCTAGTCTATTTTCTAAAATATACTATGCATCTGTATTTAATAAGTTGTGTATTTTGTTGTTCTCTCGTCAGTCTGCATGAACGTCTTCTGAAGATGGAAAAACAGTTCAAAATTCAAACTCGTTGGTCTCCGTCAGATCCACAATACAGGTCCAGTTTGGTGACCTGTGAGGCTGTAAGAGCAAAACAGACCCTGGATCTAATTCTGGTTTCCGGTAGAAGAAGATGGTTTCTTCTTTCCTAAAAAAAAAGAAATACACAGGTATAAAAAGATCGAACTACGCGCTCTTGACGTGTACTTTTCTTTGTAAAACTTAAAAATGTTAATTGACTTTGTTTACCCATGTAGCAAGAAAGCTCGTTTTTAAGTTTACGTGCATGAGATTGAATTGGAATATGGAGGGTTAGTGTCAGTTGAGGGTCAGGAAAAACTGGCGACCCCTTAGAGCAAAGACGACAACCAAGAACGGACTCAACCCACATATCAATTAATAACTTAACTTTTTTATATAACTGTTTCTGTTATAGATGGCCAAGCCCAGGCGAAACGTTTGTGTAAGGGCGTCACCAAAGAGAATACCAATCTGCGCAAGCAGTTAAAAGTATTTAACTCTTCTGTAGACATCCTCCGGCAACATGATTACTCTTCATTTTCCCCTCTTTCATGGGAAGATGTTAGTGACGTCAGCAGTGCCATCTACTCCATCAACATCCCAAACGAAGACGGTGTTCCTGTGTGCATTAAAAGGTCAGCAGTTGATGCGCAGAACTTGATTTCGCGATGTTGGGAGGAGATGAAATATCAAGACGCTGAAATGTCTAACACTATCACTGCATATTTCAACCAATGTCTTGAAATTGAAGGTCGATTCTCTTCGTTGGCAAGTCACCATGAATTTAAAGATTCTAACAATCTCAAAGGTCTTTATTCCATCCATACAAAGCAACTGTACGATGAGCGTGTGCGACTTTTTGGTGCTTGTAATATGTTTAAAAGTTTATCACACCTTCTCCAGAAGTTAGTAATTACATGGTTGACAATGTCCAGGAAGTCAATGTACTCGATTTCTGGAATGCAGGCGAAGAGTTTGAAAGTGATGAAGATGATGACAATGATAGTGATGTTGAAGTGTGACTATTTATATTAAGTATTCGGACAAGGATTACTGACTATTTGTAATAAGTACCGTAGTTTTGACAAGTCTGTATATGATCTAAGGCTAGACAACATTCTCATTTCTGGAGCATTAAACAAATGTTCCTATGTACTGTTTTTGTCTTGGTTCACTGATAACATTTACAGAATTCGACTTGAAATCGTGGGAAATATGATGCTTGAGAAAGTAATACCTAACAACGCAGTGCAACTATAATTTAGTACCAACGTAAAATCATCGACAAATTGCGTACTCTATGATTGGTCACAAGTTGTAGCGCGCACAATTTCTTTAACATTTTATAAAAGAAATAAAAACTTGTCCTCCTGTATTGTTGTGTTGTATAAGTACTTGGGAATTTTAAGAACACTCCATGCATTTTTATCATGTTCCCAAGCTGACTTAATTCCTGCTTGCTTAGCTTAACAATGCACTCGTATGGGGATATAATGTCTTTCTTTGAAGTCCAATGTGCAGCAAAATGACTGTAATCA